ATGTGATGTCAAACTAACATCAACAAGCAGAACGTGATAAGAATTTAATAAGGCACGAGTTCCATTAGACTTCTATCTTCCGTGCTGTCCATGAATGAATTTGAGTAAGGGATTTGTTCAAATATATTTGCTGTATCAATTAGATTTGGGGGGCAAGAGCATATCTATATATATATATATTATGCATATTATGCATATCTATATACATACACATGGCCGAAAGGACTCCTGAATCGGACCGCCGACCCAACTGCCGGCCTTGCTTCAGGCCGCGATGCGCAGCGGGTGAATGATGCCGGCCGCGAAGTTTTCGAGGAGGAGGTGGGGCGGAGGTTTCGGATTCCGTGTTCGTCGAGGCGCGGTCCAAAACGGGCCAAAACGGGTACGATTTGTTGGAAGCGGGAATTGAGGCTGGGTAGGGTAGCGCTAGTTGGGGTTTGGACCATGGCACATGAGGTGTGTCTCCGAAACTAAAACGGGGCGATGTTCCCTTTGGATTCAAAGATGGAAGGGTTCCCATTCCCTTGAAACCAGTGAGATCTTCGTTGCTATGTATGTCTTCGGGCGAAACCGGAAACGAGGACTCGAAGCATGACTTGTCAAGCACCTTGCCAACTGTTCCGCCGCCTGCATTTGCTTCAACATCGAATTGAAAGTTCTTGCAAACATAAACGGACATCAAGAACTAAATAGCAATTGCAAGAGTAGTGGCCAGAGTGCATGCACTTTCTGGATGTGTTGACAATCAGCTTCGACGGTTTTACCTGACAATGTTGTAAGATGCGATCGAAGCGGCAGCTTTAATAACATTGTCAGGACCGATATTAGGCGGAAGCATGCAGGTGACAGCGGACGTTGGAGAGACTTTAGCAAAGAAGACAAAGGAAATATTTGTTGTGGCTTCGTCTCGCAGCGCGCTCTACCCCAACTGGGCCTTTGAGGAATGAAAGACTCTCACGTCCGCTCGTTAACTCGCTCACACCTGTCTATCAGCATCCCACCAATGAAAACTCTGGGAGCTAAGATAGACAGGAGAGAGTTAGGAAAGGATATGGAAAGGACGAGCGAAGCGAAGGGATGCTTCTGCCTTCCCTCCCACGACTCGCAAATAAAGGGACTGTGAGGGTGTTTGTTTCGATACGGATGCATCCCACTTGGTAACATCATGGACGAAATAATTAGAATGTGGTTGCATGTATGAGAACCAGACAAAGCCATGATCATAGGATAATCGTGTGTGTGTGTGTGTGTGTGCACATGATATGCAACATGGACTTTCAATGTTTGGGATTATCGTTTCATTGGAAAACAACGAGTTTGAACCTGAGCGCATTTCAGGTGGAGCGCTACGGCCCTGGGCTTTGACGAGACTGTGCACGTGGGACGCCACAGGCGCAAACACGCAGACTCACCAGTTGCTTGGCAGTTGGCCTTATTTGGCTAAAGGCCTGTGTCTTGCCCAGAGTCCATGGTGGTTGCTTTCGTTTGGTTTCCCTTTAAACCGCCCCAAGGGCACCCTCAAACACGACACCCAAAGCCTTTGGCCTTTTCCGCACGCGTCCCAAGAGCAGCTTTTCCGGATTCTGCGAATCAGAGCACTTGCATCCGGCACGAATCAGATCCACATCCCGATCTGCCGGCACCATGTATTCCCGGCACGCATGCGAAGCGATGCCCAGTAGCCTAGTAGATTCCACAAATGGGTCAGTGTCACACACACACACACACACACACACGCACACAACACATGTCTCACGTGGAAAGCCCGTTCAGTTTTCTCCAAAGCGAATCGCCCAACCGAAGGCCCAGGGTCCAAACCACAGAAAGGTTGGCTTGTATAACCCAACCATGGTGACCGGCTGTCCTCGATGTATGATGCGTTCGGTTGGACACTTTTGGACCCAGACAACATAGGTCCAAAGAGGCCCAGAACGTCAGTTCTATGGACCAAAAGTGCTTTGCTGGGTGAAGGACCAAACCGGACGCCATCCGGCCCGACTCACCGATGCAGCGAGGAGGTGGGTGATCCTGTCACGGGGTCTGTGATGGTTTCCTCAAAAACCTGCTGGGGTGAAATAGGCCTGATTTAGGAATGCATGGGGGACCCCTAGTACAGTGAGTGGTTTTGGGATGTACCAGCTTATCCATGATGATGGTCCCTTACCTCAGGTTCCTTGTTTCCAGTTAATGAATTCCAGTATTTAGTGCACATTTGTCCATATAGGTCTTCACAGGAACAAGCTGTCTTAAGTAAGTTCAGGCAAACGGACATGAATTCCCATGTAAAACATGCCCGCCAAAGGGGCCAAAGCAAAATCCACACTTATGCGGGGGACTGGTCATTGTTTCGGTGGCTTAAACATAGCCTTTTGGACAGAGCAAATGCAAGCACGTGCGAAATGAGTTTCTTTAAATGGGACCAAAGAGGGACCCCTGTTGGTTCAATCTGAAAAGGACACCCTGCGCATAGTAAGCACTCACACACCTGCTCGCTTACACACTTTCGTGACTACACACACGCGCTTACGCACACATACACGCATACACACCTAAACACTGACACCCTTACACAGTTAAACGCTGAGCAATTGCACACTGACACACTGACACACTGACGCACTTGCACACTTGCAAACTTGCACACTTGCAGACACTTGCACTTTCACACGAACACTTGCACTTTCACGTACACTGACACACCCACACCTCGCAGACTTACGCACACTTCCACGCTGGCACAGTCTTACACACATGACCATGTGCAACAGCACGCACGCATCCGTTCGCACACACGCACACGCAGGTTTGCAAGCACACGCACACGCATACTACCCAATTGGAGCCTCTCAAAGTCAGAGTTGCCAGTTTCGTCGCAACCATTCTGCAAGAGCATCAGGGAAACCTCGTGATGTTTGGTGTGTGGCTGCTTTGGTTACAAGAAGCTCAGGCTGCGCAAAGCTCCCGCCCGCCGGCGCTGGGAAGCGCCGCGCTCCTGGGACTCCTCGCATCGAGAGCGCGCGCGCGCGCGCGCCCTGGCGGAGCCGGAGGCCGACCCGCGGGGGGTTTTCGGGCCGCGGCTTGGAAATCGGCTTCGGCTTCCATCTGACTGCTGGGGTCATACACCAAAAAGGGAGGTGTGAAAAAGGCGGGACAAATCCCAGGGCCTTTCAGGTTTCAATCGCGGGGTGGATGACAGTTGCCGGGGGTTCTGAAGGCTCAGTTTCAACGGGTTGATTGTTTTAAGCATCAGCTGTTGCCATCCAGTCTCAGTGCCTCAAGATCAACGAACCAGTGAACCAGCGGCTCCCTGGCCATGTCAAGGGGTCTGCAATTGAAATCGCGCTTGCTTCTGAGATGCTGCCCAGACAGGTAACAACTTGGGAAATTGGTTCCTCTCGGGACAAAAGCTTGTGTTGGTTTGGACGGAGTCAACATACTTTGCGAACACAGAATCAGCAGCTCGTGTTTTCTCTATCGGGTTTACCTTGAACCGATATACTGTGAAGCTCGTGGCTCACGGCGGCCATTTAGGTCAGTTTGGTTGAAGATACTGTAGATGGCTGGATGCTTGGCTTTGATCATGTGGAGTCCATGGTAGTTTTCATCCAAATGGACACATATAGGTCCTGTTGTAGTGTTGGCGCATCTTTTTGAGGGACCACCAACCCGTTGCGCCCCCAGTTGCCCAGTGGTGCCCATTTTTCCTCTTTTTTGTTAGTAAGGGTTCCCCTTTAAACTCAACCAAAGAAGAAGAAAGAAGGGAAAACAACAACAATAATTATATAAAAAAATATAGTAATAATAAGAATAATAAACACTAAACACATCATATGCCCTTTTTTCGCATGGAAATCCACTGGGCATCTGAGACCCCTTGTTCAACCCCCCAACTAGAAGGTGTTGACACGGCCAGGGGGCCCGCTGACCGCGGGGCGGTTGTCGGTGCTTTCCGCGTGCCGGTGCTTTGGCTTCGGAGAGAAATGGATGCTGCGACAAGGGTTGGCTCCTGGACCCCCAGAAAACCTGTCCTATGGGGGTGGGGGCTCTAGAAATGACCAAAACGAAACATCCGATCAAAATCAGCCAGAGGTTGATCAATCCGGGGGTTCCATCACTCTCGCAAAACTGATTGTTTGACGTGTTGGCCCCCTTTTTGGTCCATGTTTGGTCATGACAGGACGCCAAAAGGTCAACCTTCTCTTTCCAGGCCCCTTCTCCTTCCAGGCCCTTTGGGCAAGAGAGTACACGAACGAGTGCGCAAACCTCCTTTGGGAAGTTTGAACCCGTTAATGCATAAATGGATATGAATTTTGATAAGATACTCTTTGGTGGACATCGTTTAGGTGGGGATTCATGTCCGAATGAACTACAATCAACATTTGGATATTTCTAGTACACCCTACTCCGTGAGAGTTTACCCAAAATCCACAAGCTTTTGTCGGGACATACCCCATGAATTTTACTTGCATCAGGTAGAACCAGACAGGGTTGCTTGGAGTGTGTTACCACAAGTCACTGGAAAGAACCACAATGGAGTTGAGACTCCATTACTGGAGGTGCACAAGTGGCGTGTGAACTAGTCATAGAGAGCCACCGGTCCAATATGGACCCCACACGTGTACACCCGTTGTCCAGAGTACAGCATGCGGGGTGTCGTTTCTGTCCTTCTATGTTTGGGCCTTAAACATCGCCTTTGGTTGCCAGTTCAAAGTGAGGGTCCTTTTGGTGCGGACATGCCAAAAGGCGAAGTGTAAGCATGCCATTTTGTTGAGCATGACCTGCTGGTTGCAGTTGGTTGCTATTGTACGGCTTGCTTTCACATCGGCTTTTTCTTGAGTTCACGGAGACAAATGGAAAAGCGAACCTATTTTGCAGGTCGAGCAAACCCGTCATGCTTCTTGTTCTGTTTTTTTGCCGCGCTTAGTTCTGCAGGAAACCAACCACATCCCTTCCTCTAGAGGCAAACGTGTGACAACGCCCCTTCTGGATTTCTCGGCCAGGAGACTTTGGAGGCGTCTCTGAGCCGACGGATTGCTTGAGCTTTGAACACGTGGTTTCCGGGGTCCCACGGACGGGGACATTGGGCCCAAGGTGGCCCAGCTAGATTCTCTGTTGGCCGTATCTAAGGCCCAACCGTGTGGGGGGATCTTTGGAACAACGGTTCGTGGCATCGCTGATGACTGTTTGACTTGTGTTGTGCACACCAACGATGCGCGGCATGTGTCGTGATTTGCAAGGTGAAGTCTCCAAGACCCAACAAGTGAGGGCCCAAATACAATTTGCACCCTAAAGTCAGCAGAACAGGGGACCTTGGCGTGCGCTTTTGGTACATTTTGAGTCGTGCAGTCCTGTGGGTCAAGCTGTTCGATTGCCAAACTTCAACCAATGCAGGGGAACATCATGACAAGCCCAAGCAAAACCAAAACTGACTTAAAAAACCACCCCGAAAAACCTCGAGAAACCCAAACAACAAAGATCACTTCGACAGAACAAACAATACTACCACGATGATGCAAAAAACCAAACAACGATGATTGGAAACTCCTTGGAGAGCAGCTCATGTTGAAAGAGTTATCGAAACACACTTCTTTTTGTTGTGTTTTCTCAAGTTGTTCTGTTGTTTCTTGGGCTATCTCGAGTTTGTTTTGTCTTTAGCGTTTCTTCTTTTGAAGGCAGGCGATTTGGAAGAAGCAACTAGCTTGTCTTTCCTTATTCGATTCTATGCTATTTCTAATTGAAGTCTACTTCAAGCCCTACTTGGTAAGGAATTCCTATTTGACATCAAACTCACGTAACAACAACTTCGCTAATTAATTTCTATTAAACATCGAATCAAGTGTGACAATTCTATTTAAGTTAACCAGAAGAAACAAACAGCTTGTCTTTCCTTACCAGTTTCCATTTAATTTAGGTTTCATATATATGTAAGCTCGTAGCTACTTGGAAAGGAACTTCTATTAAACGTCTGATTAAACATGAACGACAATGTCGTTGAATGACTTAGAAGAAACGACCAGCTTTTGTTTCCCTACTAGATTCTAGCTAGTTTACATTTGAATTCTATTTAAGGTTTGGAAAATATTTCCCATTCAGAATTGGAAGGAGTTCCTGTTATAAATCTATTCCAAAATAATAATTCGAGTGAAGCTCTCATTGAACTCATACGTGGAACAAACTCCTATGTTTAGCATCCTTTCGATTGGAGTTCGAATTGAATCTTAATCGAAATCGGACTTGGAAGGGACGTACTATTTAAAATCTAAGTCAATATAAGACTTTAGGTTGAATTCTAATCGAAACCCCATTTAAACTTCAAGCGCAATTTAACACTTGCAATCCAATTATAATGGAGTATGCACGTTCCATTGAGGGGCTTGAAAATCAGAAGAAACAACACGCGTGTCTTTCTTTTTTTTGATTCCATTTAAGGCCCAGTTAAAGTCATGATTCGCAAGGACCCATCATGTTCGTTCTCATTCACTGTAATGTTTTACATGGACTTCTAATTAACATGTGTGTTGACTTCTAATTAATGTTGGAACTTGATAAATACAGGGCCCCCCCCCCCCTCCAAAGAATGGAGGCACTAGAATTCTGTAGGCTCACTTTTGACACAATGGAGGATGTTGGGGCCCAATTCTACTTTAGTATTGCAGCCACTTCCTTTTTGGAATTCCACTTTGGTATTGCAACCACTTCTTCCTGAGCAGACTTTCTGGAATACTACTTTAGTATTGCAACCACTTCCCTTTCAGTTCTTTCTGTAGCCATTCAAAGGGGAATGCTTTTAATTAAGCAAGTGGGCCACCAATTGAAAGGGGAGTGCTTTTAAGCAAGTGGGCCACCAATTGAAAGGGGAATGCTTTTAAGTAAGTGGGCCACCAATTAAAAGGGGCATGCTTTTGAGTAAGTGGGCCACCAATTAAAAGGGGCATGCTTTTGAGTAAAGCAAGTGACAGTTTATTTTCTGGAGGGGGGCTGGGGTCTTGCAACTAATGTGGTCGCCCTAAACAATGCCATTGTTGAACGATTTTTAACATGCATCGTGGCACGGAGCTGGTGTGGAATGCGGAGGACCTCGTGATAGTGAAGGTGATCGTGAGGTACAACATGCGGGTCCAGCAGGGCGAGGCGTGCTCGCGGAATTTCCAGCCGCAATGCCGCCTGCTGCCGAAAGAGTTGCAGGGGGACCACGTGGAGGTGCCCGTATACGAAAGGATTGCAGCAAGCAGGTGGCACGACTGTGCCCACACCCCTCACTGGGAAGAACACTACGTCCCACACAAGGACTGGTTCCTTCACATGAACTATGACAAGGTGAAGAATCTCACACCCTTGGGCTGCTGCTTCCCCTGGGCTCCTCAGCCCGTTCAGTGGGGTCTGTGAGGGGTACCCTTGTCCTGATTGTTATTTTTTCATGTTTTAAACACGGTTTAGCAAAGAATTTGCAGTTTCAGGGCTGGGGATGGTTTTCAAATTTCAGAGGTTTCTGCTGGCTTTGTTTTTTGGTATTGTTGGCATTTGGGTGATTGTTTTTTTTGGGGGGGGAGATGGTTTTCTAAATTAAACCTGATTTGTGGATTTTGTTTTGATTTTTCCCCCCGGGCAAAAAACTTTCAATTATTCTGGTCCCCATCAACAATGGGGGCGAACCACAATAAGGAAAACACTTTGCATGATTGACTAGCCCATTGCTAATCGGGTGCCAACATTAAAATATGTGTTAAACTTGAGGCGTGGCATGTTAAGACTCGTAACCAATAGAATCAATAGAACTGAAATTGCATTTCCAGGAGTTTTCATCGGTTGTTCACTTCTTTTAAGGGGCAGGCAAATTGGCAGAAGCAACACGCTTGTGTTTCCATACCGGAATCTACTTCAATTCTAGTTACGAAGAGAATTGCAGCTACTCTGGCTTGAATGAGCAGCAACACCTAGCAGCATATTACAACAATCCATGCAGATGCCCCCGTTGAGTGATTCAGAACTCGTAGTCAAAAGGCATTCTTCAGCAAAGCAAGCGTACAACTTGCTCAACATATCAAAATCAGGACATGGATGCCTGACCGTTTGAAGGGTCAACAGACTCTGGCTATAGATACTGTTCTGTGCACTCACGATCGGGTTTAAGACAAAGAACATCTCTCTGGGTTTAGACATTTGGTCGGGCATGATGTGTCTCAATGGTTCTTGTAAGTGACTTTCTGAAAGCATCTCAGACAGGAAAGCAACCAACAGCAGCAAACAGCAAGCACAGTTGGCATTTAGATGCCCACAATGAATTGTCCCAACCAGAACAGGTTCCGCCGCCCTTTTGATTCTTCAGATTTCGGGTAGACGGCAGACTCCTCAAATACCCAGGTTTTGATCGTGAAACTGCGTGGGCTCCAGTTCGCCAAGAGCAGCTTGACGTTTGAAGTTTGTTTTCAAGGCCTTTGATTGCAAGTCAAGTGCCTTCTGTGCCTTGGAAACATGTTCCGGAGTATTTAATTTGTTAGTATAGAGGTTGGGAAGTGAAGATGATGTAGTTTGTAGATTTGGTTTTTGTAGGTGTTCTTTTTTGATTGTTTGGTTGAATATAGATGGAGTTTGTCGGTTTCTGTTAGGTTTGATGTTACTACTGGTTTTTGGGAACTCAGTTTCCAGTGCAGAGACTTGGATTTTCAGGTTCAACCATTTCCGTTTCGGTTGGTTTATGTTTGTTTTGCTGCTTCGGATGGTTTGTTTCCTGCTGTCTTTTGGTTTGCGACCCCAAAGACCGCCAGCGTGAAATGGAGCCAAACTTGCGGCTCCGTTCACTGGAGATCTTTGGAGATGGTTGGGGTTATAGGTGTCCTTTTTGGTTTGTGTTCATAGAAAATACATGGCCCTCATTGCGGGGCTTTTTCCGGCTTCCACTGGCAATCGAACGGGCTCTGCAAGGACTCGAACCCCGATCCTGTGCCGGCGACGCTGAATGCGGTGTCTTTCAGGATGATGTTTGCATTGCCGGACTTGGCTTACCTCTTTAAACTTTTTCCCCTTTCGACTTTCCTTTAATTTTCCTTACCGGCAAAAAGTTCACTTGTTGCAGGATTAAGTCTGGCCCAGCTTGCACATCCGTTGCAATGGAATGCAACAGTTCCTTCGAACTTTCTCGTCCAGGACTCAATCAGGTTCGGTGACACGAGGGATGTGTCCAAACACTCAAATGGAGCAAATAAAGGTATCCTTCTCTGGTTCCAGGGCTCCGTAGGTTACCCTCTTTCCAGCAATCATGTGTCCTCCAAAAGTATTTGGGTCTGTCTCAAAAGGTTGGCTTCCTTTTGGCTTCCCTTGGAACCAACTCAAAAGAGGTGCCTAGAAAAGACACTTCCATTTGTATATATATATACATATAGAGGGTGGACTAAATATGAAGCAGACTCTGACGGTGCTACTTTCTGTGTACCATATGTGGGCCAAGATGGAAGTGGACGTTTGGTACTGCCTTTTCACGAATCACATGGCCGCCGTCAAATTGCAGGCCACATCCCTTGCGCAGTGCAGACTACAGTCTTTCAAACCCTTCTGTCGGCTTCCAGCTTCGATTGTTTGAAAGGGGGCCCGTGGACAGACTACGTCCCTTCTTGTGAACCCCCCCCTTTCCCACATTGTTGGAAGAAGGGTCGCCGATTTGGCTAAAACGCAAAGCCTTTTCCATCAGAGCAGCGTGCCAGCAATTTAAGGGAAATGTTGAGGCAGATAAACCAAGAAGTCTTGTTTTCGTTCTTGTTTGTCCATCGACTAGTGGTAAGACCCCCGTCCACTAATGAATGGTAAGGGAGGGGGTTCCACATCCTTTGTGGGTTCCCCTTGGCATACCTATCCCATTGTTCCTTGGTTGGCACAAGGAACGTGAGGCATACCAAGGGGCACGCATCAGGACTTCCCCGTTGGCAAGAAGGGTGCCTTTGGCCTTTTTCCTTTGCTGCCTCAGGAAACAACGGCTCAACCATGCAACCAGACGCAAGCATACGATTTGCAAAGACAGTTGTGTAGACACTCACTGAATCTAATACTGGAATTGATATATCTGGATTCGACCTACATATAGGATGTGCTCAGATATACGTATGTTGTATTCACCATATGAATGACGGTTATGACATGTGCAGACAACTTCCAGAGTATATATGTTATACCTACAAAATGGAGTGCTATACACATGTGGGGACTTGGATGCATGGAACTTTGATGCTCCGGGGCTGTGCACCAACATATCATCAAAGGAAGTTTAGAAGGAACTTCCGTAGTACAGAAACTCATTGACAGGCAGCTTGTGTAGATAGATAGAATCAGAGTTTGTGCGCAGAGAAGATGAAAACGTGTGTGGGCGTGTGGCGGGGGAAATAGAAATCGTGAAAAAGAGTGACCCTCTGCGTGTTTTGGCGGGTCTGCGTTAATGTCTGCGTCAATGTCAACCACCTCTGCCTTGACGCCTGTCCGGCGCGGGTTCGGCGCGGGTGCGGCGCCTGGCCCACTGTAATGGCAGCGCGAAGGTTTCGCGGGGCTTGGATTGCGTGGCAGGCGCAGCACTTTGAGAAGGTCAGGTGCAGATCTTCGTGGCAGGCGCAGCGCCTCAGCAAGGTCAGGTGCAGATTTCGTGTGCCTTTTGGCAAGGTCAGGTACAGATTTCGTGGCAGGGGCAGCACTTTCGCAAGGTCAGGTACAGATTTCGTGGCAGGCGCAGTACTTTCGCAAGGTCAGGTACAGATTTCGTGGCAGGCGCAGCACTTTGGCAAGGTGGGCGTGTGGCGGGGGAATAGAATTCACGAAAAAGAGTGACCCTTTGCGTGTTTTAGCGGGTCTACGTGAATACGTGAATGTCAACCACCTCTGTCTCGACGCCTGTCTTGTCTGGCGCGGGTCCGGCACGGGTTCGGCGCGGGTGCGGCGCGGGTACGGCGCCCGGGCCAATGTGATGGCAGCGCGAAGGTTTCGCAAGGTTCGGATTGCGTGGCAGGCGCAGCACTTTCGCAAGGCCAGGTGCAGATTCTGTGGCAGGCGTAGCGCTTTGGCAAGGTCAGGTGCAGATTTCGTGGCAGGCACATCACTTTGAGAAGGTCAGGTGCAGATTTCGTGGCAGGCGCAGCACTGTGGCAAGGTCAGGTGCAGGTTTCGCGGCGGGCGCAGCACTCTGGCAAGCAGGTACAGATTTCGTGGCAGTGGTAGAGAAAGAAAAAGGAAGAAAGAGCGAGGGAGAGAGAGCGAGAGAGAGAGAGAGAGCGAAAGAGGAAAGAAACAGAAAGCGAAAGAGAAAGAGAGAGAAAAGAGAAAGATAAAGGGACATAGAAAGAAAGGAGAAAGGGAAGACAAAGAAAAAGATTAGCAAGAGAAAGAAAAGATATAGACAAAGAGAAAGAGAACAGTAAAGAGAAAGAAAAGAGAAAGAAAAGAGAACAGATTGAGAAAGAGAAAGAGAAAGAGCAAGAGAATAAAGACAAAGAAAAAGAGACAGGGACAGAGAAAGAGAAAGAGAAAGAAAAGGAAGAGAGAAAGACAAAGATAAAACAAAGAGAGAGAACAGAGAGAGAGAGAGAGGGAGAGGGAGAGAGAGAGAAAGAGAAAGAGAAAGAGAAAGAGAAAGAGAAAGAGAAAGAGAAAGAGAAAGACAAGAGAAAAGAGAAAAGATAGAGACCTATAGCCTATAACCTGTATATCTCTAGAAACTTCCGACCACCGGCTCCGGCGGCTCTATGTTATGTATGTCGTTCACCCCTTTTTACCATCTATACTTGGAATCCATCCAAGTGGTTGAGTGCCTTGAGTTAGCGGTGTCGTGCGCGGCAACCCTTCAACATAGACATGGGGCCCAAACGGGTGCCAGAACATCCGCGGCGACCTCCAATTGCGGCGCTGACTTGTTGGAGGCCTTGACTCACAAGTCTTTGTGGTTCATCTGAGTACTTATCAAAAATGGCACCTCTATCAGCAGAAAAATAATTGAAAGAAGGTTCCAAATCTTTCCTGGGTACGCCTTAGTTTCCTCCAAGAAAGCCTTGCTGTGTAGACATCCATTTGCTCACCATGATGTCGGTCTTTTGCTTGGGATCCATGACTTATTTCAGGTCTTGGAACGAGCATATCAGTAAAGCCCCAGATTAAGTAGTGATACCCTTGGGGAGTTCCCTTACTAAAGCACTGTGGCCTGGTCTTTTTGCCCTTTTTTGGGGGGTGTCTGTCTTGACTCAGGCTGAACCAAAAGGAGAACCAACCATGGAGGTTCTATATCCTTTGTTGGCTCCAGGACCATCTTCACCAAGATGGACTTCGTAGAGCGGATCAGGGACGTGCGCCCGCCTCTGCGGTTTGTCGTGGAATGGATCATGTGGGTTTCCGCTTTAAAGAACCACCCAAAAGGGTACCAACTCCACAAAAACGCCAACAGTGTGTTTTTGTGGCCTTCAGACCAACAAACACTGCAGCTACTCCCAAAAAAGAGGACACCACCATGAACGGTTTCCCCCGGCAGTTTTGTGTAGATCAGACTCAACACAGGCACCGAGCCTCCAACACCACGCACCCCAACGTTTCCTTGTGACTGCTCAAACGTGGATGGTTCCCCCTTAACCCCCCGGCTTGGTTCTGGGACAACCCACAACACATGGGTGTGTCTTTGTTTGAGGGTACCCGTTTTTTTTTGGCTAAAAGCGAAACCAAAGCAACACCGCAACTTTTGGGGGTCCCACATGGGCACTTGACCCTGATGCGTCAGTTTTGTGAGTTGCCTGTCCTCTTTTCTCACCTTCCAACCATCTGAGGAATCTGGACTTTGCACTTGAAAGCTTAGGAGGGCATGTGTTCCATTTAGCCCCTATTGATTTGTGTTCCTTTGAGTTCCTTTGCGCATTCCACCCCCCACATACACGACATAGCCGTATGTTGTCTGCTTCTAAGCGAACCGCACGGTCAACAAATTTCAATTCACAAGCCGACTTCAAGCCACTAGTCACATGGAGGCGTCCGGAAGCAACATCGGCTCATGGGAACCTCTCGAACTGCCGCCGACAGATGTCCGGGGCGAGAGCTCAGGCGATACAAAGGGAAGTGCCCGCGGATCTTGACGCCGGAGGTGGGACATGCGGCCGAGTTGTGGTAACTTTGCGTTTTGTTCAGTGCCCTTGGACTTTTACAGGGGTCCAAATGTAGGGTTGACTTAATATGGAACAGAGATGGAAAATATGACTTTCTGTGTACCCCGGATGCGGGCTGAGAGGAATGTGATCCATGAGATATCCAACGAGAAGTTGAACTTTGAGCAAGGGATGACCCAGCTACTAAGTCAAGATGCTTCACCATGTGTCTCTGGCGGTTTTAAAGGTAACCCTCAATTCTTGGAGAGTCCCTTGCGAAATGACTTCGGGGGTTGGTTTGGTTGGTGGAAGATAAGACTTGCAAATTGCAAGGACCTTTCTCATTTGGAACCAACAACTGTCGTATTCTTGCACCCGTTTTTCTTTTTTAGCCCATGTGAGTTGGGGCCTGAGTGCACCCATTTGACCAGGAGACGCTGCTCATCAATTCCTTCTACCTGCGCTTCTCGCAGAAGGCCAGGGTTTTTTGGGGCCCGACGAGCCCGTGGGGCAACTTCTTTTTGTGTGGGTAGGTATTGTCCCTTGGCCCTGGGCTTCGCACGCCTCCATAAAGCGTTCTACTCGGGAGACTTCTGTTGTGATTGTTCAATTGTTGGTTGAGGCGCGTGAGTGAAGTTAGTTTGAGTTAGTTGGGTTTCATGTCAAGGGCAACCATACTATTTCACATCCCAAGAAACAAACATCCCGCTTTGTCCAGGAATCCGTTTTTTGAGAACTCGTAAAACACCCAAATAGTTGTTTGTTGAAAGGACTACAGCTGCAAGGATCGAAGAATTGCCAACAAATGTGTGTAACAGGGTTTGTAACTCAAAGATGAGGTTTGCCTTGGAAGGCTTGCTTTGCTTTTGCTTTGCCTTTACCGACCAACATGGTTCCCCAAAAGGACTCGGCGCTGCATAAACGAGCAAAATGGGGTCCCCCCCTCGAATCAAAAACAGCCAACCGGCAAGGGGTTCTCAAAATAGTGCCCACCACAAAGGTCAACCAACCAGAAACGGCCCCACCCACAAACGAAGCAACACAAGGGAGTCCCCAAAGTCAGGTAAACCTTAGTTGGTGGTCTGGGTTGGTGTTTGATTTGACCCCCAAACTTTTAGAGTGTAAACGGGACACCGCCCAAACCGCCGCCAAATCACCAAACCACCAATCCACACCACCAATCAGAGGGAAGCTGAAAACCGAAAACAGCTCTCTGCTCTCGCGAGGCGCGAGCGCACGGCATTCAGGTGACGTGGCTTGGATGAATTGTCGGGTTTGGGCGATCTACGGCTGGTCGCTTCACCGAAATGGCTGGTGCTTTTACGGACTTGGCTCGTAGGTTTCAGCGTGGTCTAGTTGATTAGAAGCGGTCTCCTCCGATTTCAGTTTAATGGATTTTAGGATTCGACAAATGACCATCAGGATCTAAAGGATATACCTTGGCTTGGCCCACGGCAAACTGTGAACCCCTGAATCGACAAACTTAAGTTTTGGGGAAGGCCATCATGGGCCCATGAAATTCCTGGTTCCGTGATCGAGACAATGATCAATAACGACAACGGGGCTGCCGCTTGGTAACATCGCTTAGATATCAGGTGAGTCATACATCAGGCCGAAGCCAAGATTACATTCAAATCAGAAAGCAGCGGGGACAATTTCTGGGACTCTCTGTGCTAGTAAGAATCGAATCGCCTTATGCACCTTGATCATCCTGGCAAGAAGTCTATGCACGCCAACTGCCCTGAAAGGCAGCCCAAACATGACATTCCGAACACAAGACCTTCCTGATGCACATGCCTCGCAGCGCTTTGGGGAGAAGCTATAAGCTCGTCTCCTTGTCTATGACTCAGGCATCGAATCGCCTCTCGGCAAAAAGACCTCCAACTTAGCTTTGGGCTGAGTACTGAACTAAAGGCGGCGATCGAGCATAGATCGAGCTTCTAGGAACAGGCAGGATAATCTGACGGACATTCGCTAACCAACCGTCGACAACAAGCCGAATGATGTGTAGATTTCCTGTAGCTGGCGTCCGAGAACGTTGTGCGGGTCGTGGTTGAATCAGAAGAGGCCTTGTTTCACTTCCCCAAACCGACCTTTGGATGTGTTGATCCATTGTGAAGGTTCCAAAACGTTAGTCTCCTTTCTACGTTCTTTTCTTGGGGGAAGTGACTTCACGGGGCACCTGCTTCGCGCCTACGCCACTCCTGAGGTCGCCTGTGTGCTCCCAGTGGACGCGGAAGTACAAGCCGGAGGCGGGAGAGCTGGGTCGAGGTTCTGAAGCTAACAAGAATTGAGTTCTCGCCTGAAATTTGTTGTTTGTTCTTGCAGTTGAAGTTTCTACTTGTTTGTTGTTCAATATCGGTTTCCCGATTCCCGGTTTGTTTGCGCGAGTTGGTGACGTTCGACAGTAGATCGCGTTGTGTTCGCTTTGCTTTCCTGTGGGGTTGGTTTCATCGCACATGGCCAGCTGTTGACCCAGGGAAAAGCTGTTGGCTCTTTCGGCGTGATTGTTTTTGGAAGCGACGGAAGGAAGGCTTGGCGCATCAATGACTCTTATGGAGTAGCAGGGCACGGGTGGGACTTTTGGTCCTTCAGTTTGTGGTATGAATCCACGCCAAGGAATCTGGGCAACTGAAAATGAGCTCGCGAGCAACAAGAACTCCATGAAGGTCCTGAACCGAACAGTTCCCTTGCCGGCTTAAACGCATGCTGATTTCTTCCAGCGCTGCATGTCGCTCGGAGACGTCACTTAGCGGAACTCCTGCACGGTCGAAGCCAGCCAGCCTGTGGTTTTCTGGGGAGGTTGAAAGTGGCATTTGAGCAGCACCTTGGCAATTTAAGCCGCTCTTATCATTATTCTTTTGGTTATGACTATGATGTTTTTGTTAAAATTATTGTGATTATTATTATCATTGGGGTATGGCCTCTATAAATCTTTCTGACCATTTTAGGTTATGAACCGAATGCCAATTGGCAAAAAGGCGCTGCTCATCAGGGATTTCGGTCCTCTTTTTGTTTTGCTCCACTTGCACCCCTGAAGAACCAGGCGGGACCCTTGATGAACCAGGCGGGAGTCCGACTGGCCTGTGGCAAGTCATTCCACCGGCAAAACGATCTCACTTAGCATTGGATGTTATTTTGTGTGTGTGTTTTATCCATTGCCAGTTTGGGTCGGAAAGTGGCTGTTTCAGCCACACTTGCAGATGATGTATTACCAGTGTTTCAGATTTGTTTACCCGTTTTGCTCAGCTTTCACTTGGTACAGGATCCCAGGCTTTGGCTGTTTGGCTGTTTTGTGCCTTGCAGGCACACTCTCCGTAGCTTCAGCGTTTGGTTTCGGTCCTGCCAGGCGCCTAAGGAGAAGCGATCCTACGAGTGGTACTTCCCAGACACCGGAGGCGGCCGAATTTCTTCCGAATGACTCAGGGCAAGAACCAACATCGAGCCAGCAACAGGGTTGTCCCTTTTAGGGGGAAACAGGCTGGTAACACACCTGGTGCTTTTGATGTTTTTTGTTTTTGTTTTGTGTAGTGACCTTTTAGGGACAGCGAAGTGGAGGCGCCCTTTTTGGCCAGTTGGAGTCCGATGTTTACTTTGCAGCGGCCGCTTTCCCAGAGTCACGCCCTGGGATTTTCTTGGCACCTGAAATCAGGTTACCCCTTTGCAAAGTAAAAGCTGCAGCTTGGGTTGGGCATGTCTGCGTGTCTCTCCACAGAATTCTGGTGGAACAGAGTTCTTGTCCACTTGGAAGGCATTCCACGAATATCGAAGAAGCGATGTGCAATTCCCGCACCCCTGAACTGGGGCCTACACCAAGAAACCACAGGGGCATTGATGGACTAGATATGGAAACATTGAGTCAGAATATGATTTTTTGTTCAGGAGTACCGCAGATGGCCGAGCGAAGATCAGTGAAGATGGCTAACTATTTGTTTCAACAGCGGCCCTGAATTCAAGCCAAGAAGGGCCTGACGGGACACCTGTACTGGGCACCCTTAAGTAAACCGCTAGTTGATTCATAGGGGCAACAGGGGGGGGGGCCTTCCATTTTTGAGTGTGAAACCTTCACTTTTAGACGGACCCCCCCCCTTATCTGCCGGGTACCTTCGCGCCATCAAGATCCCCCTACGTGGGTGTCTCGTCTTCTTTGGAGTTGGTACCGTACGCTTGGGGATTGCTTTGAAGGGAAACCAACAGGAATTCCCTTGGGAAACCTGAAAACCAACAGGAATTCAAACATGTTACAGGTTGATGCAACCATGTTACAGGTTCCCCCATTTTTAGAAAAACACAGTCTGGTGTCCGGCCAAGTTAGCGAGTGGCTGGCCGCCAGTCTAATACCTGACTTGGGCCACTGCCAGCAAGATGAACTTGGCCGAATACCTAAGTGCGCCAACTGGTCCAGGTGTTTTCAGGAGAAAAGTAGTTGGATCTGTTTGGCATTGCGCTGGCTTTCCCTTTGGCAGCAACCTGAACCAGGGTACAAACTTGAAAAGGACACACCCTTGCTTGTAGTTTCTGAATAGTTCTGAAGAGCCAAACGCAAGGCTAGTGCACGTCTCAGCCCTTTTTGCGCTTGAAGTATTGAGGACTGAGGCCCCCAGGTTAGGAACCGATATGGAAAACGATCCGAGCATGCAGTTCATGCTGGGCAACATGTCCACGGCGATCCTGCCCTGGCACCGGGCCCTAAGAAAGGTGACTCCTTTTGGATAAGCAGGTAGGGCACTCGTCCAAACCAACCGCGCCTTGGCTCACGGACTTGGCAGTTCGGTCGAAGGAGCTGCCGAATGCGTCTCGAGGGAACAAATGGTCAAGCGTGTACATCGACAAAGCGGGCCGCAAAAGCGTGTCGGGCGGCCGCGACCTGAAGGCGACCCAAGAATACCCGACTCAGTTCGGCCTAGAGATTGCGGAGCTTCAGGCGAAGACTTGTGACGTGCAACAGGTGCCGAATGAGCTGCGCTGGGAAGAGGTGTCTCGCAAATTGGTGCACGGTTTCATTTCAACGTGTTGTAGGGTTGTGGGAATGAGGGGTTTGGTATCATTCCTGCGATGCCAGGGAACCTTCGCTTCAAAGGGATAGCGGGGTTGGATTCGCGGGGGTGCAACCTGAATCGTGGCCAAACTCGAAAGAAGGGAGCTCCGTTCGAAGCGGCATGACTGACTCTGTGATTGTGACATCTACGTGGATGCGTGTCGTGCGATCACTCGCAGATTGCTTCCGATATCCCCATGGACAGAAGAGAAGGCGTGATGGACTGTTGTGGGACACGCTGGGGTGCAGACAATGCCAGCCCGTCTTCCACGTGAAACATCCAGCAAAAGTATGTCACCCACGATTTTGTTGAACATTGAGTTGTCCAAGCTTGGCGGTTTGCGGCTAGATGCCTTACTCACCTTAATGGTTTTCACCACGGAAGTTGTGTGTCTTTCGGGGGATCTCCTGCTCTTTGGTTGGTTGTATTCATTCCTGGAGAGAGAAGCCAACAGAAACCAAACTATAGGCGGCCCCCTGTTTTGAGATCCCAAACCAAAGTCCCCGACATGACTATCGACAGGGCGGGGAGTTTAGTAAAACATGCTCCTTGGTACGATGGAGATGCTGAAGTTAGGAACAGCCGGTTTGAGAACAACTTACATGAAGCCAACCACCTATTCAGCCTAAACCCAATTTTGACACGCCTGAACTTGGTTTGTTCAACATCAACCTGTACTCCTTTTGTCAGATAGTATTGGTTTCTTTTTGTGGTGCGAGCTTCGGATGATTGGGATTAGGTATGCGCCCTCCCCCAATCAAAGACACACCCGCACATCCAATAGCTTTGGCTCCTGCGCACTCCGACTGCTCCCTGAGATCGCCTGCATTTGGGGCTCCACGACGCCAAGGAAGAGGAGGAGAGGCTTTCGCCGATGGAATGCTCGTGTGTGTGTGTGTGTGTGTGCGCGAGTACATGAAGATTCCCATTCAACACTGCACTTGCTGGCTGGCACATATTCTGGTTGAAAAGCTCGCGCGTATGCTTGCAAAGTGCACGAGCAACAAATTATTCAGGACCTCACGTGGCAGTGCACTCGTGCTTCATACTTCAGGCCTGTGAATGGTTATGGACTCAACCGCGATGACCCCATCCATGACGCTTCAAATTTCGACCGGACAATTCAACCTGCGGGAGTTTTAGGGGTCGGTCCCGAAGTGGAGGGTTCCCTCAATGGAATAATGTTCTTAATCAACCAAGTTTATGAATCCCCAGTTCCGAGTAGCTGGCACCACTCGGTTGGTCATTGATGCACCCTCGATTTCTTCACGCTTGGATTTATGCCCTTTGTTGCTTCGTGAACTTCTCAACGAGGGTGGAAACCAACAGCAAGCAAGGTATAGTGGTCCGTGTGCTTTGGCTTTGTGCTTATTGGGCAGTGCCGCTTAGCAATGACTGTCAGAACAAGTAAGTGCTCGATCCAAATCACGAAAAGATGCACTGTACAATCCACCTAGGATTTCTTCGCGTATTCTATTGCAAGCAGACATGAGTCCGTAATCAAAACTTGGTACTGCAGGGGGTCTGCCCAAAACCAAGTGAGAAGTCGACAAGAAAACAGGGGGAGGGGGGTTTGACGGAGGGTTGGAATCCTGCGAAATTGTTGAGGCGGACCATATACCTTGCAACCCTCTTAGAATAAAGTGTCGTGTGGTGATTTTGACCTTCATATCGTCCAGCCGATAGATGTTTGTTGATCTTAATTATGTAGAACCTGTCAAAAGCATTCCCCACCGACTGCTTTGTCCCATGTCGCAGTCGTTTGGAGTTGGGGTTGGGTGGGACGTGCTGGTCAATACTTGGATCATCCATTTGTTGCGCTGATCATGTACTGGTTCAGAGCAAGAGGAGCCATTGCAACTTGATTTTGTTGGTGACAAAGATCGAGGCCATTCAGGAGCATTTTCCGGGCCATGACCCTCCTATCACTCCCCGCGAGTGTGCTCCAAATGTGTGCTTGCTTGCTTGCTTGCTTGCTTTCTTGCTTGCTCGTTTGCTGGCTTGCTTGCTTGCTTGCTTGCTTGCTTGCCTGCTTGCTTGCTTGCTTGCTTGCTTGCTTGCTTGCTTGCTTGCTTGCTTGCTTGCTTGCTTGCTTGCTCGTTTGCTGGCTTGCTTGCTGGCTTGCTGGCTTGCTGGCTTGCTGGCTTGCTTGCTTGCTTGCTTGATTGCTTGCTTGCTTGCTTGCTTGCTTGCTTGCTCGCTTGCTGGCTGGCTTGCTTGCTTGCTTGCTTGCTTGCTTGCTTGCTTCCTTTCTTCCTTTCTTTCTTTCTTTCTTTCTTTCTTTCTTTCTTTGTTTGTTTGTTTGTTTGTTTGTGTGTGTTTTTGAGGGCACCCTTTTCACCCGAGTTTTTTTGGGGCAAAGCACGACCGACATCCATATTATGGGTATGGGGCAAAATCAATCCGCCAGGGGACCGAAGTTTTAGTCTAACTGTCCATGTTTCTACTTACCAGGGCACGCCATTTTGGGGTTACCCGATTTTTCACCCACATGGGGGTGACTCTGGAAGGACCTCTGGGTCTTCCTGCGGCAGCTCACCGGCATGGAGGACCTCCAGGCCGCCAAGGAGCCTTCCACTTCGATTCGGATTCAGATCGATGCGGATTGAAGAACACGCGGGCGTGCGTGGAGTCGGCGACTTTTTTTCCTCTTTGTTTTCTTCTTGTGTTTGTTCTTATTTTTTTCCCAGAGGTTGGCATACCAGTGTTTTTTTCTTCATATTTTTATGCGACTTGCTCTAAGATGGTTTTTGGATCCCCGTTTTTGGTGACGCTGACCGCAATCAAAATCAACCAGCGGTTTGCTAGTCCGGCCTTCTTTTGGTTCCATGTTAGTTTGCGGGGGAGTAAGGAAACCGGATACAAGCTTGGGAGATGTCCTCTAGGATCTCCAGGGCTTCCAGCCGGGATGGATATAAATCGGTTCCACCCCGAAAACTGGGATGAGTGCTACAATTTGGTGATTGAACATTGTGGCGCCGCTTACGTCCAATCATGCTTGTCATTGGCTGAAGCTGGTACAATTGGAAGAAAGGCAGGGTTTATTTGCATTGACATGTGTGTGTGTGTGTGTGTGTATCTTGAATGACCGGGAAGGATGGAGGCAAGAGTAGCAAGAATAAACGGTCACATTGCAGAGGGAACCAAATCTGATCTAGTTAGACGCTACAAATTGTTGAGGCTTCAGACTATATGATGCGAAGGCTTACCAGTAATGTGCAATCACTGCATTGACACAAAAAGCAGCCTACTTTGCTTTGATGTTTTGCTCTGTTGTTTCCTGCATTGCCTTTGAAGGCTTGCCGCAGAGAGATGGATGCTAGCATGTTTACGCATGGAAATAGTGCTCCAAACAGCGTGTTTATTCGCTGCACCCGGGTGATTTGATCCTGCTGAATACACTTGGGTTCCATAGGAAACCTCACGCGCCCGGCGCCCGGCGCCCATCCCCACCACGTGAGAGTGGGCTGCATAGAGTATGCCTCTTGGAGTTGGACATAGACTCATGATGTGCGACAATAATTAAGCATGTAATACTGTGGATGGACGAAATCCGGCACCACCAAAAAAAACCCTGGAATGATGATTCCCCTGTAAAAGCCAACGAACAATGGTTTCCAATGGATTCAACGTGGTGTAGGATTTGTCCATCCACAGTACGGATTGTTGGCACAAGACGATTGTTCCCTCCCAGCTGAGTTTGTCGTTGCGCGTTTTTTGGCCGGAGATGTGCCTTAGAGGCATCGAGGTGTCAGCAAGGATTATTGCCAGGGCAACTCAACTGGCTATGGTGACTTCAGATTTATACGAAGGACACGATTGTCATAGGAATTCTCCTAAAGGATTTAACTCTCCCGCTAGAGCGGAAACGACTCGTTTGGATGAATCTGAAGTTGACATTGCCAGCAAACAATATTGCCATTTTGTAGCTTACGTACGTTTGATACCTCCCTTGGAAGGGTCATATGGACTTACAGGATTGGTTGTAGGTCGATCGCACTTGCTTTCTGAAAAGAAGATGGCTCTTCTTGAATTCCGACATCAAATAGATCTTCCTGTCTCTTTTTGACTGATTTGTGTGTGTGTGTGTCACTTTGATCTTGGCCCTAGCCACAAGCCTCCCAGCCCCAGCCGTGTCGGCGCGTAGGACTACGCGTGGAACAATGCTGGCCAGTACGGTCTGGAGGCGCAGGGGGACTTCTTCTGGCGAAATAAACGGCAGCATGGAGCAAGGCCCAAAGCTCTTATAGGCCGTTTTGGCAGGTGGTTCTACTACTTGGTTAAACAAGGATTATAGTAAGGCCTTGGTAAAGCTCTATAGCATCTTAGCACCAAATTGAAGGGTTTTGGTCGCTGCTCAAGTTCCTTTCCGGGAAGTAAGGGGGAAGAGTCAACCTGAATCGGGAAATTGTGCCATCTACTTTCATCCACGCGATAGCTCATGTTCAGGGGGCTTATTTCGCCTGAAGGAACCAACAAGCACATCTTGTGTGGCGGAATTTCAGGAATCCCGTTTTTGGCTTCCACGCCAATTTTGCCGAGGGCAGTATTTGTTCCTTGTTGAATGCGGTTGGTTCCCGAAGTGCCCGAAGTCCAGCCACAACGAAGACATGTCGGACCCTATTTGGAGGTCTTGAGGCGAGCCTACAGGGAAGCCACCCGTGGGGGGGCACCTCCCCGATTTAGAGAGCCCAAGGTTGCACCTGTGAAAACCGATCTTTGTGCTGGCTTCGCTTTGCGGTTTCTGGAATTTCAGTGGCTTCTGTTCACCCTGACGTGATAAGAAGCAGCTTTCATTTGCGGAGTCCATGATTCCATTTGTTTGTTCCACTGTATAGCTCAAGCTTCACAAACAGTTTGGTTCAAATCAGATTTCCGTAGAGGCAATTTGGTTGAAATCGGTTTGTTCCTAAAGCGGCTTGGGTTGTTGAAGCCCATCCAAACAGCAGCTACGCCCCATATGGCCCATGGGTGAGGCATATGCATTTGGAAGGGCCGGGGCCGGTGATTGCAATTGACCGAGATCTATTAGTGTGATTTGCCAATGCAAGTTCATTTCGCAGTAGAACACATGCATGTGTGATGTTTGTTTTTGGCATGTTGCTCTGGTCTTTTCTGTTCTGTTCTGTGTTGTTTGTTTGCTTGCTTGCTTGCTTGCTTGCTTGCTTGCTTGCTTGCTTGCTTGCTTGCTTGCTTGCTTGCTTGCTTGCTTGCTCGCTTGCTGGCCGTGCTTGTTTGTTTGCTTGCGTGCTTTCGTGGTTGTTCTGTGTTGGATCGTACTGCTTCGTTGTTTCCTGTCTGTCTGTGGCCGCCAGGCCTTCAGGCGCGAGGATGTGTCGCTGCTCGTGGGCTCCATGGTGCGCTGGCGTGGGCTCCAAAAAAAAGGGGCCTGGGGTAGGCGCTGCGTTCAGTGTAGGTTTGGGCTATGTGGCTGGGGTCGTGTTTTTGTTTTTGTTTTTTTAATCATAGAGTCATAGAGCAAGGGTGAGGTTGAGGGTGGCTTTTTCAGGGTGCCCAAGGCTGATGGTGTTCTACGTCGGTTCTCATTGAACACAATCGGGTCTTCTTTGCCAAGACAGTAAGTGAGTAGTAACCCGGGCTACAGCCCATCTGCGAGTTTTCTGAGGACATGACGCTGCCAGTGGTTGACGTTCGCCCAGTTTGCTAGCCACTTTGTAACTGAATTAAATCAGAATCCATCCGGGTAAGTATCCGAATCAATTCGCTACTTGACCCTGCTCACCGTGCATGGACCAGGGTCATGGCCTTATGAAAGACGGGGAACCCTTTTGCAGGGGTTCATATATTTTCCTTTGGCTGATTGAAACATCACCTCATGGATCATGTTGATATGATCTGTTTGGTGGTCAGGGAAGAAGGATTTGGCCAACCATTTGTCCATGTTTAATTGCAGCCGCTTTTGTTTGTACAAACTGCCTTGACAAGGGTCTACGCTTGAAAGGGGAGGCTCCACTTGCTCAAAAGGTTTTTGCCCATGTCATGAGGGATCCTGGAAGCCGGCTTCGCTGTATATTCTGACCGGTTCTCACGTCCCTTCCACGTGAGATGTGGACGGGATTCGAACAAATATTGATGGGAAGGTCATGTGGAGCAAGATTATGCGATCAAGCTTTGTAACCATGGAACCATGATTATGCGACCATGGGTTGTGTGGCCATGTGGTTATGTGTCTGGGATTGCCCGGGCAAAGGGAATCTACCCTTTGCAAGGGAATCCACGAATGAGCATGTCACTTTCAGGTTTAAGATGTGTTTCTTTGGAGCTGGTACCATTCTGGGATTGTGTTGAACGGACTCTGGGAAACCGAACGTAAGGTTTCCATATGCGAGACAAAGCTCCTCATCGCAAAGGTGAGCGAACCACAAAAATATTAACGACTACTTTCGGATTGCTCCAACCCTGGCTAAGCCACGTTGAGAAGGCGAACAAGAATCGTTTAGGCTCACACTATCCATAGTTGTTGCTCGCCCCAGTATTTTGAGTGCAATATCCAAGTTCTTGAAGTCGCGTTTGGTGGTCCAGGTTGGTTTGTTTTAGTTCTGGAGACAATCAACAAAATGCACAGATGGCTTATCAAACACCCATTTTGTCTCCGTTTCTCCGAATTGCCGGACAATCAATTTGGTCCAGATTTGGGGCTGTCTTGAAGTTAGGGAGCCGACAAAATGAATTCCGGTATTCTTTTTGGTTTTCCTTTGAACCAATCCCAAAAGGGGTTTCCTAAACGATGCCAGATGCATCTTGGGTTCCGATTCATTTTTCCCCAGCAAAAAGTGTGCACAACGTCCACCTGACATTTGTCAAAGCGACCCCCAACAAAGGGAGGTATCTGCAATATCTTGAAGCTTCCTGTTTGAACCGCCCACCTTTGGGGGCTCCAAATCTGACGCAAGAGCCAAAGATCCAAAGCGAGAGACGAGGTCCGAGAAGGCCCGGATGAGGGGCTTGTTGAGCTCCACGAAGCTGAACTTCATCCACAAGGCGGGCTGAGCAGTGGGCCGACCAGCCGAACCCCCCGGACCCCCCCCCCCCCGAACAGGATACATCGAATCGTGTTTTTTTTTTCCCGGTTTGGCGAAAGACCAGGAACTTGGTGGTTGGAGAGGCAGAAAAAGAATGAGACATGGAATGACCCCAAGAAAAGCCATCCCCACTGGCTTCCTTGAAAGAAATGCCAAGGTTCATGCCCGAACCATGGGTCGTTCCCTACTGAGCACCAGCAAGACACCATGTGGGTTTGTCTCTTTTGGAGGGAACTTCCAAAGGGTGGTGCCCCTGTGGCTTCCCTTGAAGGCAACTGAAAACTGGCGCCTTCGAAAAAGACACACCCATATGTGTGCGTGCTTGTCAAACTAGGGGGTGGGATCAAGCAAACCTGATGGTTTTTCTGTGAATTCCTTTGAAGGGAGGCGGACAACATACATATATATATATATATTTATATGTTTGTATATATTTCAAATATGCACACTTTCCGTCTAACCCAGATTAGGACCAAGACTCCCCTTCCTATTGTTCTTCCTTTTGACTGCAGCTCCCATACACACCCCTGCCCCCTTGTCCAACCTGATTTATTTCCCTTTGTGTTGGCTTTCGACGTTACCTTTTCGTTTCCCTTTTCGTTACCCATTTAAGGTGGGTGGTTTATATATATATATATACATATGTATGTATATACACATGTGGTCAGCCGCCCCCCCCAGGATCTACTTGTTGTGTCTTGAAGCCTTTTTAACTATTTCGTATGCCTAGAAAATACACATTTTTAGTGCTAGACTGCCTGGTGTCGTGGTCTTTACTTGTATGAATTGTATACTCATATATGTGATGCAGAACCATGAACGTGTATGCACAAAACAAATGACCGGATTCTAGTCTTCGGGGGCATTCCACATTGAATTAGCCATGATATAAAAACCTGCATTTCTGTTGTATTGTCTTGTGTTCTACTCCTGCGAAGTGCTAAACAACACACTTGTCTAGCATTAAATCGTATAAAACACAAACAACTGAGGGAAGACGAAAACAAAACACATCTCAAGTTGTTTTGCTTTTTGTGAGGGATACTCCCAAAAAGCTGAGGGAAAACCAAAAAAACAACCTCGGAAAAAAAGAGCAACAAACAATAAACCCAATCTCTGGGGGCGAATCCTTGGTTTCAGCCCCAAACCTTGTTTTCCTTTTTTTGTTTTTTCTTTCTCAAGTTATTTTTGGTCTCCCCTTAGTCTCTTTGGTTCTTTGACCTTATCCCTCACAAAAAGAAAACAAAACATGATTCAAGTTGTGTTTTGTTTTGAGAAGGCCAGATTTCCACAAACCAAACACGAACTCGAATTGTTTTGGTTTTTGTGAGGGACAATGTCAAAAAAACCAAAAAATCTAAGGGAAGAAACAACAACAACTTGAGAAACTCAAAAACCAAAGTTTGGGGCTGAAACACAGATTCGCCTCCAGAGATTTTGTTGGTTTCCTCGAGTTTTGTTTTGCTTTTTGGTTTTCCCTCAGTTTTTTTGGACAGTATCCCTCACAAAAGATGTTTTCTTCTGAAACTTTCAACAATCCAACAAAACACTGATATTTTTGTTTGTGTGCATTGCTCATCAAGTTTGGCTGTTTTGTTGTGATTTGCTCTCCTATGTCCTTGTCGAATGTGTGGCCATATATGCACATGCCTTGCTGCACTTGGCATCTGTGACTGACCACCTTTATCAGCGCAGTCAGCGACCTCAGTCCAGTTTAAATGGAATTCAATAAGGGCAGAGTTAAAACAGAATTTCGATTTTTTTTTTTTTTTAAATCAGAATTCAACCCTGGCATTTTATTCTTGACTCAATCCTCATCAGGCTCCTTCCAAGGCTCCTCATAAAGCTCCTTACAAGGCTCCTTAATCAACTCCTTACAAGGCGCATTGTACAGCTCGGCTCGCTTTCAAGCTTCTGACAAGGCTCCGTACAAAGCTCCTTGTAGGGGTAGCTATAAGGATCCTTATTAAGCTGCTTTTGAAGTTCCTTGTCCTTGTGCAAACCCTTTTCAAACTGCTTGTGAAGTTTCTTATAAGGCCTCTTCGGCTCCTTATACCAAGGGGGATGTTGATTACAAAAGCAGGTTGAACAGACGTTAATGAAACAAACAATTCAGAATGATAATTCAAAGAAAAGCTTCCAACCATGAATTCCATGTTAATAGTATGTGTTACTAGAACTTAACAAGGACATAAATTGATCAAAATCCTTTTCACTATGATTTCGATTAAAGTTAATTAGAATTTGAGCAGAACTTAATAACGATGAAATGTTTATAATTATCCGCAATGCCCTGACACACGGACAGAGCTGATTTGTTTGGTTTGCAGATGGAACATAATACATTGCAACATACAATTAATTTGTTACCTGCAAACAATGCAAATTAGTGCAGATGGCGCAGAAAAGGTAGGTCATGCGTGGGGGGGGGCTGAGCATATATATATATATTATTTTTGTTTCGTACCTTGCTCTGTACCTTCCCTGCATGTGGTAGACAGGGTGGCTTGGCCACTTACCATCACGTTCGCGGCCTCTGTGCTGTCATCGCCCTCCACTACAAGAGCCTTCCCAGCTAGAGGTCAAACTCTACTCGACTCGGGAGCGGGCCCATTACTGTCATCTACGGGGCCTTGAGTCGAGCAGAGTTCTGACATCCAGCTGGGGCGGCTTTTTGGCTTTTCGGCCCAGACCCGCAGGTTCGATCCCTGCCGCTGCACTTGCTCCAGCTTCCTTCTTCCTCGAGCTCCCGTCTTGCCAAAGCGTTTCCTTGACTCACGCATGGTGATGACGGAGGTATCGACCACTTGAGTCAACCAAGACCGTCAAAAGCAGAACGAGTCATGCCGTGCTCGAAAAGTTCAATTTCGTAGTTCGTGGTGCACAGAACTTTGATGCCGTCAAATGACAGCGAAAACTCGAGCTTGGAAGCCGCAACACCTACTTTTGTAATGGAACCCGGCCATTGTCAACAACAGGCACCAGCGCTTTTCGCCGGTGTGGAAGTGTTGTCGATTTTGAAGAGCTTTTTTCAACACCGCAAACGTTTCAGTGTCTTGCAGTTCGGGCCCCTCAAAACAAATATTAGTCACAAACAAGGCTTTGCCCCGAAAAGAAACACACCTCATCGTATGTGTGAGAAACACACCTCCATCCCATGAGGCTCTCTGACTTTTCTCCCACGATACCCACAGCGCTGCTATGAGCTTTTGCGCACCCACGGCCATTGGCAAGTCCAGCTGACGGAGCCCTAGCACGTGTCGAGACAACACTAACGCAGCTGCAGATACTACGGAAGGCGATAATCCACGGACGCAATCAATGTAGGAGGCCCAAGACAGCCACAGATCAGAATGAAACTCACACAAAGCGGAGAAGTCAATGGGAGAGCGGAAGGGATCCACAAATGCTGCGATAACGAACGCCAAAACACAGAAAACAGGTCAATGTGCTGATCAAGATAAAAGGGGCAAGCGTGCCACGCGGACAGCCACTTCGTAGGGATCGGGCCAATGGAGCGCATGGTGGATGGACGAACGGTTCGGTGGCGAGACTCCGGCAACGCGCAGAAGCAAAACAAGAGACAAACACAGGGAGACCACGCGCAGACACAGCATGAAAACCAAACTTGTGAGCCAGGTGAGCGCAGAGCAAGATTTAAGCAATGCATGGATGCATGGCACATGTGTGCTTACCATCCCCACCCCCCTTTTACCAACCCCAGCTTGTCAGAAAAATAGCCTGGGTCAAAATCGACAACCCTTCCACGGCGCCGTTGTCGTCAACAACACCACCCTCGTTTCTGCCTTCCCTTCTGCACCTGGCCGTGCGTGTGCTCACCTTGACAGTTCTCAAGACGTCCTGGGTTAGACTGCGAGGGGGCAGGAGGGCGCAGGGCCGGATTCACCCTTTTATATATATATATATATTTATGTATATATACACATGAGCATACATGTATATATATATATATTCTGAGAAAACGCGAACTCGAGGCCGAAGGCGGTTTCGCGCGAAGCCGAATTCACCCGAGCCGAAGCCGGATTCATCCCAAACCGAAAGAGATCAGGGTTGGTTGCGTACCAGGGTGGACATGGCAGACACTAGCTTCAACATCTTATTAGGAGCAGGGCTACCCACGAACCCTTGCTGAAGGGGAATGGGCAAAGAAAAACACAGGGTAGCACCTACGAATGATAGGTTCGGGCGAACCTTACTCGTTGGGCACCCAAGACGATCTTGTTTGGCATGAATGACTTTACATTTGAAGGTTTAAGCGTACCAGAATCTGTAATTGGGCGAAAGCTGAGGTGGATTTGGCCTCTCCCTGCTTCGCAACTAAAAGGACCACCTGAGGGGCAGCTGGCTCCCAAAGCCACACCCCCAAGCGAGTTTCCGGGGTTTCCAGCACAATCCCTGGTCCAATGTCGGGAGCTCAACTGAGTTTAGACAAGTTGAATTGCCCAGCCGTGGCGCATTTTTTCCTTGAGATGTCGTTCTTGTTTGTCCGCAAAGAGGATGGGAAGAGCATGGAGTTCCTCCTCTCCAACGGCGAGAAGCTCTGGCTCAGCACGGAGGGGTCGGGTGGTTGGAGGGCGTTTTTTGTAATGTTTGTGTACATGGCTGTGGGTCAACAGGTCCCATGAACATGGGGTGAACATGAGGGAAAGCGCCAAAAAGATGATATGTCCCTGACCCATGGTCATTTTGGGGCCAGAAATATTAATCAGCCCCCGCATGGCTGTGGTTTGGTAACCCCAAAATGGCTGGCCCTGGTAAATGGAGACATGGACAACCTGCGGTCCAATTCCTGGTGGTTTAATTTTGACCCATACACATAGTCCCGAAACATCCAACCATGCCCAGGGCGGTTGCAAAAAAATCACCGGCAGCGCGTGGGTTGGGAGCACCAGTTGCTGGTTTATGCCATAGGTTTTGGTTTATCCCAGCTGGTTTTTTGTTGTTGTTTGTTTTGGTTTGTTCATTTCAGTAGGGGCCTGCAACAAAAACAAGTTTGTGCAGCCATATCACGGGTTGTGAAGCTTGACCAAGCCGATTTGTTTTTCCCGGGGAAGTCTGTGTTATTTTCTATGTACCCCTTTTTGTGGGCAAAGGTTCACAGGAGTCCTTGTACCTATCACCTCGGTCATGCGACATGTGTCCTTTTGGTGGGGTCATACACGGAGTTTGGCCACCTTTTCTAGGCATGTCGCCACTTTCTTTCAACTAGGCCGGTCGCCTGAGCAAAGAGAACACACGCCCCCGAGGGAAAGAGCCCTTTGTGACATCATTTCCGCATGTTTTGGAGGGGCCCGCTATAAACCATCCGTGGCTTCCGATGAAGGCCCAGGGTCCAATTGTGACGCCAGAGTAGCCAACAATGGAGCCCTAAATGGAGACGCAGCCTCAAACCTGCCGTTTCCTTTTGCGCCACATGGAAGCCTACAAGCAGGTGGCTGAAGAAAGGCGAACGTTTCGCGCTTTGGCTGGAGACTTGAGCCGCGGTTTGGCAGGAGGACCTCAAGGAGGAGGAGGACCTGTGGAAGTGGATCTTGGACCTGAGCCGCGTGCCCGTCCAGGCGAGCGCCTGGTGGCCTTGGGGCATCTGGGCGGATAGAGATCCCGAAGCTGCGCGAAATGAGGGCCTAGGTGCCCCAGTGCCCTTTTGCCGTTTCTTTCTTAGTGCACTTTCAGCTTTTTTGGCGAGGGTTCCCCTACTAAAACAGACTACAGAAAAAAAGGGTACCCTTATTCTAGCCTCTCTACTGGAGGACTAGGAGTGCCACCAAGGGTATGCGAACCATAGGGCGGAGACTTGAAGCGCCAGAAGGCAACCGCTCTGCGGTCAGGGCGCTTAAAAGTTGCTACTCTTGTCGTACGCGCGGTCCGAAAGGTTCGAGGGAAGCCCAAGGGAAGGTCACCGTGAGATGGCCACCGTGAGATGGCCGACACGTCGCAGTACCGAGAAGCTTTTGGCAAACCGTGGGTCAAAAGCCAAATCGTACCCCCAGTGAACATCCCAATCCCCACTAAAATAGGTCCTAAACATGGGTGGTGTACCTACCCGAAAATGGTAGGCCATTTCTGAGGGCGGAACTGAAGGCGGTCGCTTCTTGCGCCCTTCAAGGGCTGAAGACCAACCAAGCCAAACATGAAAACTCTCAGGTTCTTTCAAGGAGTTGACCACAATGGTGGCCAAAGAAAAGACCACAGGCATTCCTTTGATATCTTAGGGAAAACTTGGGAGCAGTGGAAGCCTCTTTTCAAATCAAGACCAAGAAATCAAGCGCTGCTCCGCCCTTTTGCTTCGCAGGGCTTTGGGTGGCCGTCGTTTTTTCATACGGCACAAGACTCCAGGTACACCAAAGCACGAAAGAGGCCAACAGGCTAGGCTACGCATACCACATCCCCTGGTTGCAACTGAGAAGGTCCGAAACTCCTGCAACCCACCAAGCCACACCGATGAAGGCACTCGGACCCTTTGGGCGAATGCGGCTTCGTCCAACAATTGCCTCGGTCGCCCGTGCCGTACCGTCGCAGAAGCTGGTTCCTGCCGAGCCGGCCAAAGAGAATGACCCCTGGAAGGACCCGGTTTCATCGATTTCCGGGGGAAGGGATTGGAGGTTTCCCACTTCTGTGATAGGGAGCTTCCTTCACGGAGAGTTCGTTTGGAAATTGTTCCACTGCCATCACAGTTGCCATTCCCACCCTGCAACCCTGCAGTTGTGAGTCGCTGGCCTGGGCCTTCAACCGATCCCCGTGTTTTTTGTTTTTTTTTAATGGGGGGGAGGGGTAGGAATGGAGGGGACCAGGGTTGAGGGTTGAGCCGACTTGGCATCCAAGGCCGCGCCGGTCTTGAAGCAACAGCTTCACTGGAGCTGGCCTTCGGTTCACCTCTGCAACCAAACGGGTATCGAAAGTATGGGCCTGGGTTGCGAATCCCAAGTGATCAAGCATTCGGTGTGTCTTGTTTGGAGTCGGTGTACTTGTTTCGGCTGATTGTGAAACGAGATCAAAGCGAAACAATATCCAATTTGGAGACAGGCCAAACGTCACTTGGTCAAGACAAGCTTGTTAGTTGGGGCTTAATGGGGATGGTCATGGGTTTTAACCAAGGAAAACTTGGACAACAATGACAAGGATTCTGTGGTTCAGGGAACCATGACAGCATGGCCCACAAGTGGCGGAGTTTAGCCGTGGCACAAATGAGCACAATCCAACACTTTTAGTGGACAACGTTGTGGGTTCTACTACCTGGTTGAGTGGATTTCATAGTGCGGCGTATACAATTTGTATCTCACTTACTTCGCCTGCTTCTTGAGCTTCTTGATTGACACCCCTGCTGCAAAATGCATATTCAGACTTTCACGGTCAAGAGTTGTGTGAATCAAGGACTGTTGCACGACATGCGAAGCATGGCAACGTACTGGAATCAACTGCTCGCCTGCCAATGTGCAGATGGCGCATGGCCTTTCATTGTGCAGTTTTAGGGGACGAACCATGATTCGCCGATTTAACTTTCGCCCAATTGCTTGAATTGTCAAGTCGTGGATCGGCTGCAGCCAGCAGAGATTGTCACAGTTCCGCAATGTTTCGACCTATTCTGGTAGAAAGACGCGTCAAACGCAGGTTTCGGGCGCCTGCAGGTGGGGACTCCTCTTGGCTGTTTGGCCAAGATAGAAAGTGGTTATCTGGCTTACAACCTGTCAACAGCTGAGTAGGGTTGGGTCTTCAGGGGACTTCCGAGTCGGGCATCACCTAGGTTGGGGTGCCTCACCGCTTGCTAGCTTGGGCAACCACGGCTCCTCTCGCCCCAAACCACCGCAAGGACAGGGGTTTAATGGGATACATAGCCATTGGTCTAAGCCACTATACTCCGTTTCTTTCGATGGCTGGTTTGGGGTCGAGTAACTTGGGGTGGTTTGTCAAAATAGACCACCCACCTGGCTCTTTCGGCTTTCTAGAAACCCCTGACTCGGGTCCCTTTCTGTTTACATATTTCCTTCCTGCAAAGTGAGCCCACCAAACGCGGGGCTCCCGAAAAAGCCACGGGTTCTCCCCGTTCACGGAGGACGGCTCCTGGAAGCGTGCCGGCCTCGTGTTCCTCTGGTGTTGGATGCGCTGGGAGCCCGTTTTGGGGCACTATTCTGACGCAGACCATGCGTGAAGGACCTTGTTGGTGTCAAAATCCGATTTGGGCCCGAAAATGGCGGGCGTGCTTATTGATTTCCCGTATATAAAAGCAACCTCGAAAAGTCTACCGAGCCTCTGTGTAGTAAAGGTCCACGAGAGGGTCCAACTTGGAACTTAGACCCATGTGTATGTCTTTTGGTTGTCCTGCAAAGCGTTTGGTTGCCTTTTGGTTGCCTTTTGGTTGCCTTTTGGTTGCCCACGGTTCGCTGTGAAGGACCAAACGGGAACCGTCCATTTGGAGAGGGCCCCCTTTCGGGCATTCTCGAGAACATGATTAAAGCGAACCTTGCCGTATTCAAGTTCTTGCTCGCTTTATAAAAGCTTTGTTGGCTGACCAAGTCATGTTGGCAGATTGATCAACCTCGCAGATTGGAGGGTGTGTTGCCACACAAATGTCTCTAAGGGGACCCCCAACTCAAGGAGTGGCGTGGCCAGTTTGTGGGTCTTTGTCAGTTGGTGCTTGGTATTTGAGCGGCCTTGACCATCGCACACAAGCTGGGGGAAAGCGAGCTCGCCGAAGGTCCTTGGAGATTCCTTATGTCCAGTTTGTGAAACATAATGAAAAGGTCAAGCCTAGAGCGACTCTCGGATCCCTTCCCCCCATTCCCCCAAAAAGGGGCTGGGTTGTTTTTTGCCACAGGAGCCGCGAAACATGTTTTTCATGTAATGTTTACCCCGCACTAGTCAACCCCTTGTTTATGAATAGGGGATGTCCCTGGGTTTGGTGGGGTTTCATTTTGGAGGGGAACACCCTCCTATGAATAAGGGGTTGATTCATAGGGGGTCAACATAATCTCAGGGAGCTCACAGATATCAGTGCGACTAAGGAAACGCCCAGGAGATGTGGGATCGGAAGCGCAAGGAGGGTGAGAAGGCCGGAGGTTTCGGAGTGGCAGGGCTCGGGTTGAGTCGCCGAGTTACACGAGGATCTGCCTGGGGCTACCCCGAGGTCTCCTTCAGCATTGTTTATTTCAGGGAAATGGTTCTTCTGACAGAGTCAGAACATATTTTTGGCCGTGTGCCCTAGACGGCCAAGAACCAGTGCGGGTTTTTTTCCAATTCCAAGCAGTCCAAAGACTTAGATCCGCCGGTTTCAGGATTAGATCCGCCGGTTTCAGGTCCGAAACGAACTTGAGCATTACAAGAACTTTTCCCTTTGCGAGCGGGAGGCGTTGGTTTTTTCCTGAACGAGGAATCAGTCCACGCTTGCAATTGCTTCGCGTGCTGCTGGATATAGATAAGGAATGCGTCAGAGGGCGGAACCCATGTCCTCAGCTCCGGAGGGAAGCTGTGTCTTTCGTGTTTACGATGGGCCAACCGAAGATCCCACTGCTCGGTGACGTTTTTTTCCACATACTTTCGCTTTTCACAGCGCAAGACTTTTCTGCAGTTCTCAATCGCAAGAATACAGCGGCTATTTGTTTGTCTTCGAAATAGGGAACCGCCTCACAAGTGGTTGGTGGAGATGAATCCCCAAAGTCCTCAGTTAAAACTCAGGGCTGCATACAACCAAGAAGGCTCCATTGGACAATTACAAAAATACAAGAAGCAAGCAACCAACCAACCTCTAGCTGTTTTGGTGAAGGGCCAAGCTCTCCAAACATGAGCGCTCTCCTGTTTTGCTCTTATGGGTTCACGTTAGGACCAACGGTGTTGAACTTTGTGCCAAGCGCGAATCAACTGAGGATGGATGTTTACAGATGCAACACACGCTCGAACTATGTGGGCGTGTGTCACAGCAGGGCTTCGGACCCACCAAAAAGGTGCTTGTTTGTTTGGGTCTCCTGAACCAACCTCGAAAAGGGTCCCGAGCCTTAAAAAAGAGCACGGACAAACAAACAAGAACCAAACAAGCGGACAACCAGCAAACAATCAAACAAACAAACACAAACAAGCGAGCGTGCAAACGAGCAGGCAAGCAACCAATCAGGCAAGCAAAGCAAACAATCAAGTACAAGCGACCAAGCAAGCAAGCAAGCAAGCAAGCAAGCAAGCAAGCAAGCAAGCAAGCAAGCAAGCAAGCAAGCAAGCAAGCAAGCAAGCAAGCAAGCAAGCAAGCAAGCAAGCAAGCAAGCAAGCAAGCAAGCAAGCAAGCAAGCAAGCAAGCAAGCAAGCAAGCAAGCAAGCAAGCAAGCAAGCAAGCAAGCAAGCAAGCAAGCAAGCAAGCAAGCAAGCAAGCAAGCAAGCAAGCAAGCAAGCAAGCAAGCAAGCAAGCAAGCAAGCAAGCAAGCAAGCAAACACACACAGACACAAAAACAAACACATACAAACACACAAGCACAACAACACAAACACACAAACACAAAAAACACAAACACAAAAAAACACAAACACGCAAACAGGAAACACACGATCAGGCAAACACACAAACACGCAACACAGACACAAACACACAGACACACAGACACACAGACACACAGACACACAGACACACAGACACACAGACACACAGACACACAGACACACAGACACACAGACACACAGACACACAGACACACAGACACACAGACACACAGACACAGACACACAGACACACAGACACACAGACACACAGACACACAGACACACAGACACACAGACACACAGACACACAGACACACAGACACACAGACACACAGACACACAGACACACAGACACACAGACACACAGACACACAGACACACAGACACACAGACACACAGACACACAGACACACAGACAAACAGACACACAGACACACAGACACACAGACACGCAGACACGCAGACGCGCAGACACACAGACACACAGACACACCCGCCACCCCGCCCGCCCGCACGCACGCACGCACAAACGCACAAGCGCGCAAGCGCACAAACACACAATCACACAAACACACAAACACACACAATCACACAAACACACAAACACACAAACACAAGCACACAAACGCACAAACGCACAAACGCACAAACGCACAAACGCACAAACGCACAAACGCACAAACGCACAAACGCTCAAAAACACAAACACACAAAAACAGAAACACACAAACAGGCAAACACACAAGCACACAAACAAACAAACAAACAAACAAACACACACACACATACACAAACACACAAACACACAAACACACAAACACACACACACCACGAAGGGCAAACTGGTAGTGAGGCAACTGGGTTTTTGGTAGCAAGGGTAGGGTCCTTTCCTTGTTTGGTTTGTATTCAAGAACACTCGCATGCCTGTGGTGGACGTAAAACAACGTAGTCAGCGATCGACGGGAGGGTCCAACTTGAAACTCAGACCCATGTGCATGTCTTTTGTTGTGTCATCTTTTTGTTGTCTTCGAAGCTTTTTGGTTGTCTTTTGCCCATGGTTCGCTTTGAAGGATCAAGCGGAAGCCTACCATTTTGTATGTCTTCTTGTTCTTCAAAGCTTGACCTTTCCCTTGACCTTTCCAGGGCGACTGGTGGGAGGACAAGGCGCGCCTTGGGTGTAGATCAAGTTCCATGGGCTTTGGCTTTCTGATCTGGTTTTGGCACATGCATCTTTTTTGAGCAACATCAGTGATAGTCCTGTCCCCCCCTGCACATTGTTATGAGACCCTTACAACCACCATTTGCAGCGGAATTTGCATTTGGCTCCCTCTTTGGGCTCCATGTTAATTTGCAGGGTAGAAACAGCCCGTTTCAAAAGATATCCCGTCCACCGTGGGTACCAGGCAGCACATAGCTCACAGTTTGTACAGTTTGTTTCAGGGCTACATTGTGTTTATACACCCGGCGTGCTTTCAAAAGGTGCAGTGGTTTGTGCCCTCCCTCAATGGAACTAACGAGAGCGTGGCCACCCTGGAGAATTCGTGCGTGCGTTGTAGGTGTGTGTGTGTGTGTTTGTTTTCAAGGTTGGTTTTAAAGGGAAGCCAGAAAGGATTGCCACAATTCTGGCCCCCTATTTTGACACATCCGCACATGTTGTCCTTGCAAAAGAAGGGAATTCTTATAGGATGCTGGTTTTAAGCACCTGCGCCCTCTGGAGAGATTGGTGTAGGCGAAAGACGGCTGAGCATGATGCAAGAGGTAGGCTTGGATAGGCTTGCAATCCGTACTTTCGATCACTTCTCTTTCTTTTGAGCCTTCACCAGGCAGTTGAAAGGCAGTTGTCTCTTTTTGTGATCATTCTTTACTCCCTGGGTGCTGAATAAATCGTACTTATCCATTTTCCCAAAAGGAAACCCAATAGGGATGGGGGTCTTTCATTTCTCCAGACTCATTTGGCCCGGTTCATACGCGCGTTTTGCATTCTCAGCATACCGCCAAGCACATCTTAGTCATTTTAGACGACCCGGGTGGCTACATTGGAGTATACCGCAAGAGCTCCACCCAAAAGGGCCCTTTTGAGGTGTCTATCTTAGAATGTTGTCGTGTCTTTCTTGCTTACTTCTCCTTCAGTCTTACAATTGCCTAATCACCAGCCCAGGTTATTAATGCTTGTTTAAGTCTCACATTGATTTTGATCGATGTTTTAGTGGTCTTGGGATTACCCAGGCAAAGATACCCCTCTTAGCATCACCTTCCCGATTGATTAGAGAGGATCTTCAGGTCTGGGGGTTAGGGGCGTTTTGTTTCTTTCACGGGAAGGCCCTTCGCTTGGCGGAAGACGGTGGCCCCCCGCACGTTTTGGGGCGGTTTCGATCGCCAGACCTTCAAGGGCGTCCGGGCCTCGGGACCTGGGCCATGGACGTCTGAAAGATAAAAAAAGCGGTTTGGGAGGCGGGTCAGCGTCTTTTTGTCGAGGGGTTGCCTCTTGTTTTTGAGGGAAACCAACAGGAAAAACTGCAGTGTTGTTTTTTTGGGGGGGTTGGTGTGTCCCCCTACAAAAAGGCACCCACCCAATATGATTGCGTCATTCCCTGACAAAAAGGACAGTATCCAGCGCAGCGGTTCAAAATCTGATCCAACGATGCCAGTGGAAAAGAGTCGGGGAAAGCTATCGTTGGGTCCTGGAAAGGGGGCTCACTCCAACTCTTCAACTCCTTTGTTGCCAGCAGGTTTGTTGATTTGCACATTTGTTGCGTTTCTTTAGTTGGATGTCCACAATGTTTGCTTGTTTGATGTGTTTGCAGATCGGCTTGTGCTCGACAGACATCTGAACACATGGCTTCACTTCCCCCCTAAGACAATACTAGTTACATGAATACAATAAGATGGAAGCCCTCTAGCCTTCACAAAATAGAACCAGACCCTTCAGAACCTCGATCAGAAATATGAGGCCGATGCAGATGTCTGGCATGGAGAACCTCCATCCCTCAATCCACACGGATGTTCTTGTGTCGGTTCGGATGAAGCTGACTAGCGGCGGCAAACGGGTCCCGTGCCGAAACGGAACAGGGGTTGAGAAACAAATCGGACCTCTTACTTGCCTTTGAGTCTCTCAACTCTGGCAATGCACCGATGTGCTGCTTCGCATTGGCAAGGGCGGCCAGCACGTGTTGTTGTTCTCGGACCACGAAGGGGTTGGAGCAACATGAGGAGTTCTCGAAAGTGTAACCAACCCGGACATGACACAAAAGTGCTGTTTGATTTTGGCTTATATATGTATGTATTCATTATGTATATATATATGCATATAAGTATATATATATATAAATATATGTATATATCCTTAGTATATATATATATATATATATCTATATATGTATGAGTTTGATGCCAACAGTAGGGAATGGCCTTTGGGCACACCTGCTGTGTCAAAGCTACTTATATGACCCCGGAACCCTGATCTTTCATGGATACATGTCCCTTTGTTAAGCCCAGGTGCTCGCAATGAACACATGACACTTGACCAGAACGGCTCAATTCAGATTCTCTCCTCAACACCCTTTGGAACCGAAACCAGCTCAGGCGGACCAAGCCAGTGCCAGCCCGGGATCTTAGGGGATGTGTGAGACTCACTTGCAAATGTTTGGCCGACTTTTGCTGTTGAACCTTTGTTCGTTCTTCTTCGTTTAGTGGCTGACAAAAACAATGCAACGATGAAACCCTGGGATTTGAACCAAGGTGAGAGTGAAATATTTAGTTCCTCTGGACGTTTGGGATCTTACATTCTTAGCCCTAGAAGAGCAAAGAGAAGGTTCTGGGTTGAATTGAAGGGGGACTAAGTCCTTGTGCTCTGGCTTTCTCGCCTTTGTTTGGTGAATGACACCTTTTCAGCCCTTTAACTCTTCCGGTGCTGGGCTCCATTTTGGGGAAGACCGTCTGATTGTTTCGCAGTTTCGGTTGGGTGGCCTCCAGGCGTCCCTTTTTGGAACCACAGTATGATTATCCTCCCTCCCACTAGTATGGCACCTCACACAGAGTCCCTTCAAGATAAAACCTGATCTTCCAGGTACCATCCCACAGGCTATCTTAGTGGGAGGAAGGGTACATTTGCCAAGTCAGATGATGTTTTTTGGATGTCACTCTCCCCCCTCCCCTTCCTCCCGCCTGTTCGGTTGAGCGCAAAAGGGTCAAGATTCTGGGTGCATGCGAAGGCGGAAAGAGATGAGTCGAAGGCTATGGAATAATGGGCTCATTGCGCATCCGTCGGGGCCAGTTCCTTTGGCAAACCGGCACCAGAATACTTACTTGCCCCACAACAATTCCTGGGTCAAATATCTGAAATGGAATCACCACTACTACTACTACTGCTACTACTACTACCACCACTACCACTACTAACACTACTAACACTACTAACACTACTAGCACTCCTACAACCGCTACCATTGCTACCACTCCTACCACTACTAGCTAGAAGGATTGAATCAGAATGCCAAAACGCGGAACTCAATAGGGTCTTGTTGGGGGGGGGGGGTGCACCCCCACATCAATCCGTCAAGCTGAATCAGGGATCCGCATTCGGGTTCGGGAGCGAAGCAACACGATGCAGCCAGTAGATCCACCAGATGGAGTCCCTATCCCCTGAAGGCGGATTAGGTGCTTTTTGCGGGGGGTCGTTGATTACTGTTTTGTTCCTTGGTTTTGGGCTGCGCTTCCCTTTAAACTCAACCAGCAAGAACGGGTCTCCCTTATTCCATGGCCATTCGGTTCCCAGGACAAGCACTTTACAGGGAGCATGGTCAAAGAGAATGAGAGAAACCTTGCCTGCTGACAGGGGACAATACGCCCACCCTTGAAAGGGTTTTGCACTGATAGACTTGTCATTTTTTCATTTTTTCCTTCATCCCTCATTCGGGTTGTGAAACGATTTGGTGGACATGCCAAGATGGGCCTCGGTCTCCCTTTCCTTGTACTCCCAAAAAGGAGCACCTTCAAAAACGGGATAGGTCTTGCGTCGTTTCCCCAGGATTGCGGGTTCAGATTCTTGCTCCACCCGGCGGCTCCAGTGGAGTGTTTGAAAATTCCCAAGCCGGCGGCACCCTGTTCCGCATGTTTTGGTTGGATTTCCCCTTAGAGTCAGCCGCAAAAATTCGGTGTCTTTCTCTCCACTCCTGGGTGTCTTAACATCAACTCAAATTTATCCTTGCAAACCCATCCAAGTGAGGCTCCTCATTTTGAGACTCCGCGGCTTGCGCGGTGGTGGCACAACAAGGAAGACTTGAACCCAGGGGTCATGTACCCCAGCAAAAACCCCTGGGTTTAGAGGTTAAGTCTTCATTGGGGTCGAAAAGTGGAACCCTGTCAAAGCCTACTCCTTGTGTTTAGTCTTTCCTTTGCAGGTTGTCAAGGCTTCCCTGATGTGTTCAACCAAGTGCCCCTCTTTCTTGCCGGTGCGATAGGTAGGGAAGGCTGGGGATTCCCTTACAGGAAACCATAGGGGATGGTTTTTCTAGGGGTCATTCCCTAACATTGCTGGGCACCAGCACTTTTTTCGGCTCACTTCAAGGCGCGCCGGTCGTGCCGATTTCGGTTCTTTGTCTCGCAGCACTCACCCCTCAATGGAATTGGGGCGGGGCGGGGCGGAGGGGGCAACCCCCGGAGATCTGCATGATTCCGCTTTCCCTTTTGTGGCTGGACACCGAGGGGCACATTTTTGATACCACAAAGATCCCTGGTAGACCTGGTGAACTACCTGAAACCATGGGGACGGGAGTCCAACTTCATTTCAAGGACGATTTTCCATGGATGGGTGGAGCCGTGGGAACAGTGGGCAGAGGACTAATCCCTTCCCCCTAATAATAAAACACGCCCCCCGTATTAATAGGGGGAACAGATCAGTGGAACTGTGGGAAGAGCCGTGACCCCCGAGGTACGCAGGTGTGCTGGAATTTCCAGCAGGGCACATGCCTGCACGGCTCCAAGTGCCGCTCCTTGGACGAGAAAGAGCCAAAGGTAAGAGGGAACGGCCGCCTCGCGGGGCGGGGTTGGGGCACGGGTCTGTTTTTTTCTGTCTTTCTTTCCTGAAGACCATCAAAATAGCCCAGGCAGAGGCCTGGTTCATGAGGATTGTTGGAAAGAATGGGGAGGCAACGCCTAGAGATGTGGGAGCCCCCAACCCCCCCCCCCCCGGGTGCAACTTCCCATTTGGTGGGTTCAATTGCCACGAAGCGGATTGATTTCGCATGAGAACTGCAGAATTTTTTGGCTCCAGTCACTCGCATTGGCCATGTCTCTTCCCGAGTACGTGTGCAAAGCCCTGAAGGCCGGGAAGGGTGGCTCAGTCCAGCCGGGCCCGTGCACTTCTAAGTCCAGCAGCCACGGACCCGTCGAAGGCTTTGAAGGCCGGGCATCGCGGCACCCCAAGAGCCTCAAGCGCTTCATGGCGGTGGTAGCGCAGCGCCCTGAGCACTTCGAGTTGTATATCTCGACTAAGCGCCGGGAGATGCGGCCGCTGCCGAAAAGTGAGAAGCCGCATGTCCCAGAGACCCATCCGACTGGTCGCCTCCTGGGAACCTCTGCGAAGCAGTGTGGCCATGTTTTGGTGTCGCTGTGAAGCGAGGCAAAGCTTTGCCACATGAATTGCCGAGAGGTGTTCACATGTATGCGCCAGCATACGATGTTTCGCACTGTTTGCACTTGAGAAGGCTCTTTCCCAGGGCACGGACAGGGGCTCATGTGTCTCCCTGTTCTGTGCAGGCAGCAACAACAAGTCAGTTTCTTTTTGCCCAGCGAAACACTGAGGTGTTAACCACGGCACGAGCTGCATCCCAAGGGAAAGAGTGCCGCATCAGCTTGTCCTTGGTTCACTGTGCCACACTTCCAGCCTATGCCAATCAAGACATGAAACAACAGCCTCATCCATCCAAAACCGCCAGAAGCTGTGAGTGTAGTCTCCCGAAACTGCGGTAATTGTTCAGTCTATGAGTGGAATCACGGACCAGGCGCACCCGCCCAAATTCCGATTTTATACTCATGCAGTATCCAGGCGGCTTTGGCAACAACAGCCACCAACCAGCCCAAAACCATGGCCCGGATGAGCAGCTGTCAATATCTGTCGCTATGCACTGAGGGGGCGACACGGGGGTACAACCAGTCCCATGGGGTCACAAGGATCATTGACAGCGGCTCAAATGTGGGCTTGGCCAAAGGGCTGCAGTTCAGCCAGTTGCGGCGGTGCAACCTTGTGTCCTGTCGGGCTTTCAAGCATGTGCAGCGTTAGCGGCCTACAAGTTGGCCCATCGGAAAGATCACACCGCTCGCCTGGCATGCCATGCTTACACAAACTGGTACACATACAAGTTCTGATTGCCAGCGGCGCTTTGGCCGGCAACCACACAAGCAGCAGAAACCTGTTTCCGTGTGTGTTTGTTTGTTTGTTTGTTTGTTTGCTTGCTCGGCCAAAGGGATGTTCTCCAACTTACACAAGCGTGTCAGCTTGTGATGTTTCACACTGGTGGGAATGCTTTTTCGCAGCGGAGCACATTGAATGTGTAATGTTGACATCGGATTAGCAACCCTTTTGTGAGCAGGTCCAGAAAACTAGACTCTGGAAGTACAAGGTCTACTTTAGTGTTGGGCAATACTAAAGTTCTTTTGGGCAAGGCAACTGTATTATTGGGAATGAGGATTTCCAGAGCTCCAGAAGGATGCTAAATGGAGCTTTGGTTCATGTTTCGATTTTTGTTTAGTATTGCTGGAGCTTCGTTTTGAGATGCTGATCTGAGAGTCCGTTTGATGACTCAGTACTGTGGGAATTGACTTTCCATGGGATCTAGTATAGCTGGAGCTAGGCCTTTTGCCTTTGAGTCGATCTTTCACTTACTTGATTTAGTATTCCTGGATTTGGGTTTCCGGAGCTTCCTTTTGAGTTTGATTTGAGCCTCCATTTATGTTGTTTAGCATTGTTGGATTTCGAGTTTCCATTTGACTCAGTATTGTTGGAGCTTCCTTTTGAGTTTGATGTGAGCTTCCATTATGTTATTTAATATTGTTGGATTTGAGTTTCCATTTGATTCAGTATTGCCGGTGCCTCCTTTTGAGATGGTGATGTGATTGTCCAGTTGATTTAGTATTGTGGGATTTGACTTTTCATGTGATATAGTATGGCTGGAGCTTCCTTCTGAGTTTGATTTGAGCTTCCGCCAATTTGATTTAGTTTTGTTGGATTTGGGTTTCAATTTGGTGGGTATCGGGGCCCACATTGTTTGCACGGGTTCGGCACTCATATGGGGTACCTCATGTTACCTTCTCAAGCCATGTAGTTCAACATCTTGGATTTCACGGAGTTCTGGCTGATGTTTGCGCTGGCTTTGTCAATCCCAAACAAATGGACAACACATGAAAAAGAAGCAGGGAATAACAGCGGCATCACCAGGGCGGTTTGAACTTCATTTTTTGAGGTGGGGCCTTCTCAATTTTCGAGAATTCTGTTGGGCCCTGTCTAACAACATATTGTTGAAAAGCGTGTGTTCCAGTTTGTCAAATTGCTTAGTCTTGGGGGCGTCCTGGGCGACCCCGTTAAATAGAAGTGCTTTGCTACTCGTAAGTGGGCATTACTCGCCTTTCAGCATCTTACACTCTGGCGGGCCTACAGGAGTGTCAGGCGTGCTTCGGTTATTGTGCACAGGCAGCAACAACATGCTTGTTTAGTCCCCAGCGAAACGCTTGAGGACTTTGAGGTGCGTGGCACGAGCTGCATCCCAAGGGGAAGAGTGCCCCATGTGCACAGGATCAGCTGGTCCTTGGTATGGCCCGGATGAGCAGCTGTCAATATTTGGTACAATCAGTCCTATAGGGCACAAGGATCATTGACAGCGGCTCAAATGTGGGCTTGGCCAAAGGGCTGCAGTTCAGCCAGGTGTAGCGGTGCAACTTTGTGTCCCGTCGGGCTTTCAAGCATGTGCAGCGTAGCGGCCTAAAAGTTGGCCTGTCGGAAACATCACACTGCTCGCCTGGCATGCTATGCTTGCACAAACTGGCGCACTTGCAAGTTCTGATTGCCAGCGGCGCTTTTGCCAGCAACCACACAAGCAGCAGAAACCTGTTTGCGTGTGTTTGTTTGTTTGTTTGTTTGTTTGTTTGTTTGTTTGCTTGCTCGGCCAAGGGGCTGCTGTTCACTCCCGAGCTGAAATCGATGTTCTCCAATTTTCACAAGCGTGTCAGCTTGTGATGTTTCACACTGGTGAGAATGCTTTTTCACAGCGGAGCACATTGAATGTGTAATGTTGACATCGGATTTGTAGCCCTTCCTGAGCAGGAGTAAAAGGTCTACTTTAGTGTTGGGCAATACTAAAGTTCTTTTGGGCAAGGCAACTGTATTATTGGGAATGAGGATTCCCAGAGCTCCAGAAAATGCTACATGGAGCTTTGGTTCATGTTTCGATTTTTGTTTAGTATTGCTGGAGCTTCGTTTTGAGATGCTGATCTGAGAGTCCGTTTGATGACTCAGTACTGTGGGAATTGACTTTCCATGGGATCTAGTATAGCTGGAGCTAGGCCTTTTGCCTTTGAGTCGATCTTTCACTTACTTGATTTAGTATTCCTGGATTTGGGTTTCCGGAGCTTCCTTTTAAGTTTGATTTGAGCCTCCATTTATGTTGTTTAGCATTGTTGGATTTCGAGTTTCCATTTGACTCAGTATTGTTGGAGCTTCCTTTTGAATTTGATTTGAGCTTTCATGTATTTTACTTTAACGCCTCCGGCTCAGGCCACCGACATGACAGGCCTGCTTTCGTTGGAAGTTTACCTTTGGACTTTTTCCTTTGGAATTCTTTATTCTCCAATTGGAAGTCTCCCTTTGGAATTTTCCCTTTGGAAACTTCCCATTGGAGGTCCCTTTGGAAACTTTCCATTGGAGGTTTCTCTTTGGAATTCTCCCTTTGAGATTTTCCCTGTAATTGTCCCATTGGACGGTTTTCCTTTATCGCATTGGAATTGTCCCTTTAGAATGTCGCATTGGAATTGTCCTATTGGAATTTTCCCATTTGACGTTTGCCTTTGGAAGTCTCTAGTTTGAAGTTTTCCTTTGGAATTCTCCCTTTGGAATTCTCCCTTTGGAAGTGTCCCATTGAGATTTTCCTATTGGGCTTTTCCTTTTGAGATTTTCCCTTTAGAAGTTGCCCTCTAAACTTTTCTCTTTGGACTTTTCCCATTGGAATTGTCTCTTTTGAATTTTTCAGTTTCTTTGCTTGGCAATTCTCCCATTGGAGTTTTCTCTTTTCAGTTTCTCCCATAGGAATTATCCACTTGGAATTGTCCTATTTTTCATGGGATTATCCCATTGGACTGTTTCCCTTTGGAATTCTCGCATTGGAATTATCCCATTGGAATTGTCCATGCAAATTTTCCCGTTGGGAATTTCCTATTGGCCGGGGGGAATTGAACACCCAAGGTTTTGATGCAACCGTCGGGCCAGGATTTAATTTACGAAGAGGGTTGTTGTCGGTGGATTTAGTATTGTTGGACTTGAGTTTCCATTTGATTCAGTATTGCCGGGGCTTCCTTTTGAGATGGTGATGTGATTGTCCAGTTGATTTAGTATTGTGGGATTTGACTTTTCATGTGATATAGTATGGCTGGAGCTTGCTTCTGAGTTTGGTTTGAGCTTCCGCCAATTTGATTTAGTTTTGTTGGATTTGGGTTTCAATTTCGTTTGTATCGGGGCCCACATTGTTTGCACGGGTTCGGCACTCATATGGGGTACCTCATGTTACCTTCTCAAGCCATGTAGTTGAAAGGGAGCTCAACATCTTGGATTTCATGGAGTTCTGGCTGATGTTTGCGTTGGCTTTTTTACTTCCAAACACATGAAACACCCAAACACATGACAAAACCCATGAAAAAGAAGCAGGGAAAAGCAGTACGAGCATGGACAAAACGGCAGTGGCATCACCAGGGCGGTTTGAACTTTCATTTTTGAGGTGGGGCCTCCTCATTTCGGGAATTCTGTTTGGCCCTGTCTAACAACATGTTTTTGGAAAGCGCTTGCCAACATGTGTTCCAGTTTGTCAAATTGCTTAGTCTTGGGGGCGTCCTGGGCGACCCGTCAAATACAAGTGCTTTGCTACGCGTAAAGTGGGCATTACTCACCTCTCAGCATCTCACACTCTGGCACGCCTACAGGTTCAGAATGTAAGCCTTGCTGCGCTAACTGCGCACAGGCATGCTTGTTTCTTTACCCAGCGAAACGCTTGAGGACTTTGAGGTGCGTGGCACGAGCTGCATCCCAAGGGGAAGAGTGCCCCATGCGCACAGGATCAGCTTGTCCTTGGTATGGCTCGGATGAGCAGCTGTCAATATCTGTCGCTATGCACTGAGGGGGCGACACGGGGGTACAACCAGTCCCATGGGGTCACAAGGATCATTGACAGCGGCTCAAATGTGGGCTTGGCCAAAGGGCTGCAGTTCAGCCAGGTGCGGCGGTGCAACCTTGTGTTCTGTCGGGCATGCGTTTGTTTGTTTGTTTGATTGATTGATTGATTGTTTGGTTGATTGATTGATTGTTTGGTTGTTTGGTCACTTGCTTGCTTGTTTGTTTGTTGTGCTGCGAAATATGTGTGGAGCAGCGTGTTTGTGCATTCCGTCACACTGCCCCAGTCGCAACCAGCTCGTATTTGTTGGCCTGAAAACTGGGCGAAGCCCTAAGCCCATTTCGATGTGGCAGTTTTGGAATCGCGTTGGGCAAAACGGCGTTTGCTTCTTTCTCCGGAAAGAGCTCGTGGATCCCTCGAGGTTGGGTCAACAAAGTTTCGGCCGGGGGGTGGCATGGTTTGACTTTGCGTCAGATTGAGATGGCCCATGGCTCTTGAGACCCCCCTTTTTGTACAGGTTTATTGGAGGTGGTCCCAAGCAGAAGCTTCCATCAGAATGTTGGTGTTACTTTCCTCTGGGTTAAAAACGAAATCTATCACTGCATGGACATAGTTTCTCTTTTTTTTCTCAAGGGACATATTCGCAAAGATCTGTTTGACCTTGCACTTCGGCCGGACCGCCGGACCATCCCTTGGAGTATTCATGGAGGGCTTCTAACAGGCAGAGGTGAGGGTACCATGTTGGATGGTTGAAAGGAAATCCAAAAGGCAAGGCAAGCCATTTTTTGGGTTTCCCCTTTGGCACCCTTTCCATGTGCGTATCTGAGTATCTGCGAAGTTGATTTGTTTGATTCCAAGCCCTTTTTGTATGGGTAACATTCACTTTTGTGTGGGATTGCCGTTCTGGGGTTCAAGGGAACCACCTTTGCAGGCTTCCCCTTGGAGTCAAAACCGCATGTGGATTGGGGCTCGGTCATCTGGGCGTCACTTGTTGTGCTCCCAACCGGATGAGCTCGGAGCTCGGCAGCGGGAATGCTCTGGGAGAAGTGGCAACCAGATTTTGCTCTTAAAGGGTGGGCACCAAGCTGGGTCCTCCCAAGATGGCCGGAGGAATCTTTTCACCGTTCTTTTAAAGCCACAACAGCAGGAACCCTCAACAAAAAGCAGGTTCTGAAACGGAGGCAACAGGAACTCATGGCCAGTTTGGTAGACCGTGGCAAGAACTGCTTGTTTGATCGGCTTGGTGCAAAGAACACAAGGTCCAGGGGAGCGTCTCCAAAACTTACATGTATTTCTCTTAAATTGTACGAGCCCCTCATCAACATCAAGCTGGGATCTCTGAATGCAATTTTGAATCCAGAGGAAGGTCTGCCCAGACAAGCTTCGACTCTGCTCAGTGGGCCTTGTTTCCTCTTTGTTCTTTGTCCAATAGCTTGTCTTTCCGCTTTTCGCTCTCCCAGCAACCATCCAGTTCTTCACTTGTTTGTGTCGCCCCAGCAACCTTGCCCGGGAACATATACGCGGTTGTCGTTTTTTTTTTCTCCCCCACGGTGGCTTTTCTAGGCCTCTAGGCTGGCCGTTTGTTGAATATTGCTTTGTGGGCCCTGGCTTTTGTGGCGATCACGTTTCGGGAGCGTTTCGACTTGACTTTTTGATGATGCTACTCTGATGCTACTCCTTTGGTCGCCCTTCTTGGATGCCTTTTCCCGGGCTCCCTGTATCGCTCGCGGCAAGGCTACTCCCACGGCGATGCCCGGGCACCCGAGCGGAGTCTAGTTGTCTACTGGTCCCTTCAAACACACGAGGGTTTCGTGAAATGGATTTCGGACCCCCTTTTGGTTTGCATTGGAACCATGAAAAGGAATCTAAGCATTTCAGGGTTAGCTTCTCCTATGTTGAGAACCTCCATTTGTGGGCCCTCCCTTCTTTTCAGGGAAGCCAAAAGCCATTTAGTCGGCCCTTTGGACACATGTCAGGGCCTCAAGGATTCCAGTCACCGAATTCCCGGCTGGATCTGTCCTTCCCTCGGAGGCCAAAACGGTTTCAAACCCGGTACTGAGCACGGCCAGGCCTTGCTGGTAATTCGTGCGGATTGGGGGTTTGGGACTTTGACCTCATTTTCCATTTGGATCCCTTCAGTTTGGTTGGGATTGGTGGTTTCGGGACGTGGTTTCGAATCTCTTAATTGCCGCGTTTGGATTTGAACCTGGTTTTGTTGGTCGAGCTTGACCCTAATTGATGGCTTGGATTGGCTGTTTGGCATCGTGATTTGTTTAACGCCAAGGTAGACACACGAACTTTGTGCGATGTTTGGACACCAGTATGGCGGTTTTGGAAAACCGTGTCTGTTCCTCCCCTCATCCCACCCATTCCTTCTCCCCAGGGTTTGCGAACCTTTTTTTTGTCCTTCAGCAAACTTTGCTGAAGGAAGCCGCTTGTGAAGGCGCGACTCCCTCGCGAGACCGGGATCTCTCAAATGACTCTTAGGGTAGAGAGACCAAAACATGACTTTCGCCGTGTAGCCGGGCGAAGGAAAGCGCTTCCGTTTTTTGACCTTCAAAGTCTCACGGGTTTTTCAGTTCCCTTTTCGTAGGCCTCGAGAGCCTCATCCACCCCTCTTATGTCGGGCATGTTGGTAGCGCTCAAAAAACCCGCTGGTGGCAAATGTGTGTGCCATGGGGAGGTCTCAAAAAACCCAGGATGCAACAACTGGTCCAGCCCTCCAGCCCTCCAGCGCTCCAGCCCTCAAGCCCTCCAGCGCTCCAGTGCTCCAGCACTCCAGTGCTCCTGCTTCAACTTTTTGGTGTGCTCTTTTTCCCCATGCAGGCCTGTGATTCCGGCATTTCCTGTAATTGTCCATTGATGACAACATATTCTTATCGTTGTACTACCGTTGGCAAGTGGTTGTTTGGCAGTTGAATGGGACGCCCTTCACTCCGGACTCTGAAGCGAACCACCGGTTGCCTCCTGTCAAAACCTGTTGTTCTTCGTTGTTCAGCAGGGGGCCCCATACTTTCCCTGTTGGGATTGTTAAGACATTACCTTTTGAATGAAAAGAGAGTGTCCTTTGGGTGTGATGTTTAAATGAGGAAATTTAGCGAACCCGATCCGCAGGTCGCATTCCCAGTGGTTTGGCGCTTCAGGTTGCTCTATTTCCAACCTTCAGGCGCCTTTTGAACATCACCTGGGCCCAAAATGGCGTTCCTGCAAAATGTTTGCTTTGATGAAACCGGAGGACGGTAATCCAAGAACTCCCCTGGCCAATGACTTCGTTTCAACCGGTCAAACAAAAATTTTAGGTACTTGGCGAGTATGATGCAGTCCATTCGACTCGGTCCGTTTTGGAGAGGAAGGGAACCACGAGGAGGTCCGTTAGGGAAGCCGAAAGGAAAGCCACGGACACCGATCTGAGGCTCCCGCGGGATCTGTTCAAGGCCAGTGCGCTTAGCCCCATGTGCCTGGAGTCTCCAGGGGGCCGAAAAGCTTTAGACTCGGTGGCCACCCATTTTTGATTCGGTCAGAAGGAGCCTCCAGGTATTCGATTTCCCGGGTCGGGCCCGAAAAGCGGTTTGAAGCCTTTCGGGTTCGACTTGGCCGCGCCGATCATTTAGAGCCTTGCAAAGGCTCGATGCAACTCTGGACCGTCCAAATGGCCCAAAACGCATCTGGCGCCACATCCGGCAAAAGCACACGACTCCTTCCCGGACGGTTATGGTGTCCTTTTGGCAACGGAGCGCTCGATGCTGGCGAAGCCTTGGTTTGCCCCTCTTGCAAGATTGGATTTGTTTTTCGTTGCTTTCCCTTGGCGGCGCCAAGACAGGATCCTGTTTTTTTTGGTTTTCCTTGAAAACAACCCAGGGGGTAAACTTACAAAAGTGGCTTGCCTAGTTTGGATAGGTGTGGCCGCGAAAAGGAAGCCAACCGATTAGTTAGTCAATCTAGAGGAACATGCAAATACGGCGAATACTGTTGGTTTTGTTCGAGGCGACTAGGAAAGGTTGGCAAAGGTGCGACGTCAGACTTGGTTGATATTCGGGAGCTTTTGACGCTCGGCAGTTGGCTCAATCCGACAGGCGTTACGTTGGGGACTAGCCGTTTTGCCCTTTTGCCCCTTTCAACATGCAGGGGGTTGGGATCCATATGGCCCAGCTAGGAGATGAACATGTCCGTCGCATTGAGCTGAGCTGGCAAGCTACATGCTCGGGGCGAGCAGCTTCTTATACTCCCTGCAAATGAACATGGAACCCCAACAAGGGACCCGGGGCTCCTGCAAAAGGAATCGGTAACTGCGTTTTTTTGGTGCCATGTTTAAATGCAAGGGAGCACTGCCAACATACTCCAAACACCTTTGCTTATGGCGTTCCTTGAGGGGGTTGTTGTCATGAAATTGGCAAGTGTTCGGTGGATTCTCAGACATGGGTTTGCCTCAAAATGCGGGAACTGCAGTCAGGTGTCTTTCTGCGGACAGAGTGCCCAGTTTGCTCAGTGTGGTGGGACCCGGGTTTTTGTGGACCAACCAAAACGAAACCGTGCTCCATTTTGGGGTCTTGGCTTCGTACCCCACCACGGCGCAAGATCCGAGTCAACTGTTTAAGGCCTTTTTGTTTCCCTTTAAAGCCACACGCAAAGGCCTCCAAAAAGACACGCTTAGACTCCCGAGGGAGGGAGCAATCAAGGTCGAGTAAAAGATCGAGTGCCAAGCATGCAGATGCAACTTCGAGTGTCGAGTCGAGTTGGCTTCCCACTACTTACTTAAAAGGGGAGAAGCGCAGAAGCAACAGCGATTCAGGGAGGGCCAAGTAGACTTTGCATCACGAGCAGGCGCTGGAACTGGTGTCCAGTTCTCTTCCCCTCTGCAACCGTAGCTTCGTTGCACACGGTAGGTTGCAGATGCCTTGTGCCCCTTCCGCAACAGAACTGGTTCCAGGGTTAATCTGCACTCGGCACACGCACAACACACAAGCGTCTTTTTTGACAACAACTGGTTTCCTATAAATGGTTTTTGCCGACCAGGAACCAAGCTTCTTCTCTTGAGCCTTGGTCTTTATGCAACCCCTGGTTTTGGTCTATGGCTAAAGTCGAGTCCCACAAATGGGATTTATCTCTAATGCAAGCAGGATATCACACATTCAACTCTTTTGGCCAGTCCATGGAAGTGAGTAGACTATGGCAACAACTTTTTCGAGGCTGTCTTTGCCGCTACTTTGAGCAGGCAAAAGCCTTGAACGGGGTGTGGTCAAATTAGGACAAGCCCACCGATTCGCTCCCGCTCGCTCGATGATCCCAAACAGACCCTGATCCTGTCAAAAGGGGCCAAAGCCATGCCAAGTCCTCGCTCCTTTTGACGCCTGAGATGGTGCTTTCCCTTAAGGGAAGCAAGCCCATGCGTATGGTGGGTGGACGGGTTCCTTTTCAACCATCCACGAGGTGCCTAATTATACATGTGCCCCTTTAAATCAATTTCTACAAGGGGTTTCTAATCACTTGCGGATTCGTATCATGTGTGTTCCTTTAAAACCACCCTCCAAGAAGGTTCCGAAATGCCTCGCGCTTTCCTTCAAAGCAGGTGAGTGTTCGAAGGCCACGGCTGGAACATGAACTGCATTTTTAGCAAAAGGAAAACCGATCCATTTTGGGTTAGACCAGACCACGCCCATTTGTCATGCTAGGCCACCATCATAGGATATTTTTGATTGAGTACCAGATTGCTCTAGTTTCGGTTTGGTTCGAATCTAATTGTTCATACAAAGAACCCAGGCACGAATCTTGCTGTCTTACCGATGTTGCTCATAGTCATGCTTTTCTAATTTTACTGAATCTTAGCTTGTTTTGACAAACCTTGCGCATCTTACTAATTGTTTACGCTACCCTCATGTTGCCCAAAAGAACACCATGGCCCGAGACCAAGGGCGGGCGGGTTGGGGGTGGGGCCCGCCGCGCGTTTGGCCAGGCCAGGTTTGTTTTGCTTTCCAGCGGCAAGGCGCGGTGAGAGCAGTTTGACTCTTCTTACTTCCTGCGTTTCTTAAGTCCATTTCAAAGGAAAAAAGTTTGCGCTCGGTTTGGCCAACCTTCCAAGTGTGTTGGTGCTATCTTGCAGAAGCTGGAGTTCACCAAAGCAGCCATGTGTTGAGGAATCTCGACTTTGGGGATTGGGCCCCTGAGTTTGGATTCTAGGCGCAAGACCAAAATACTTATCGGGCCCACCCATAAGTTTTAGGCATTTAGGGGCTGAGCGACACAGTTTCTATTTGTTTCCTGTAAATCTACCCCAAGCAGAAGCAGCAGAACATGTGACAAAGTTGACCGGGGAAAGAATGGAAATCCGACAGAAGCCAAAGGATTCGCCGGCATTTTCCGAGCGAAGGCGGGCTTTCCAAGCTCCATGTGGGTGGCTCATCTTTCTTGTCATTTCCGGGTTGGTTTCAAGGGGCTTTTGCATTGAGATGGAGTCTTGCAGATGGTACAATTGCCGGCCTGTGGATGGCACAGCTCACTTTCCGGATGAATCAACCCGTCCTATTAATGGGGCGTTGCTCCAAAAGAATTGGGACACCCCCCGGTTCTTCCAGCAGCGGCTTATCAATCCGGGGTTGCTTTACTTTTCTGCAAGGATTCGAGTTGCGTCATCCACTTTCATGGGGGAGTTGGATCTTGGAAAGTCCGGTGCTCCATCCATCGATTCACACCGGTGCCCGTTTTAGACCATCATGTTCCGAGAATGGAATCCAGGCCTATCCGGGGGAGAAGTGTTATATGTTACTTGGAAATGTGCATGACTTCATGAGGTCTTGCTATCACCTTAAAAAGGTGAGTGCACCTAGGGTGGTGTGGACGATCAGAGTCGTGGCTGATGAGACACCCAGACCTCCAGTAATTGGTTGTTCACCGTTGTTTGGAGGCGGTTTCCTCTTGAAAATCAACGAGCAATGCTCCTTTCGTCGTGGCGGGCCTCCGGGGCGCTGACTCGCGAGGCTTCTGCAAATGGGGGGACAGGTGCCACAGGCGACATGAGGAGGTGCGCCGAAGGGCAAGGGACGGTTAAAAGTGGGATTGATTCTGCTTGCAAGCTTGGATGAAGAATCCGGACCCTGACGTGCTTTACAGGGAACCCAAAGAAGGTTTTTTGGAACAATTGGTGCCTTTACGAGGTGTAAACAGGGGCTTGGGGATTGGTCGTTTATGGTTGCAGCGTTTAAGTTGAGGCAGGACAGTCTAGGTTTAGTGTGCCAGGGTGGGTGGTAGGTGGGTGGTAGGTGGGTGGGTGGGTGGGTGGGTGGGTGGGTGGGCGGGTGGGTGGGGTGGGTAGGTGTGTGTGTGTGTGTGTGTGTGTGTGTGTGTGTGTGTGTGTGTGTGTGTGTGTGTGTGTGTGTGTGTGTGTGTGTGTGTGTGTGTGTGTGTGTGTGTGTGTGTGTGTGTGTGTGTGTGTGTGTGTGTGTGTGTGTGTGTGTGTGTGTGTGTGTGTGTGTGTGTGTGTGTGTGTGTGTGTGTGTGTGTGTGTGTGTGTGTGTGTGTGTGGGGGTAGGTGTGCGGAGTGACAGAATGCCCTGTCACCACCCTTTCGGTTTCGCAGCAGGGGCGTGCAGCACCTTTGGCATACTGCACGCAATGAAGCTGTTGCCAAAGGTGGGAAGGGTGTCCAGACGTGGACACCTGTACCTGCTTCAGTGATTCTGAAAGTCCTTTTGGCCCCTTGGTTGCGGCGCTGTTTTGTGCTTCTTGTTCTTGCTCGTAACGTGTTCGACACTAGAGGGAAGCCAAGTGCATTGAGAGCCGAAACTCATCATACTCGAGACTTGTCGGTTGTACTCGAGACTCATCAGTTGTACTCGAAAGATTAGCACTCTCCATCTGGAGTTCAAGTGTGTACACCCCATTCGTGGGGAATCCTCGGGTGTACCCATTGTGTGACCCCGGGCCGGCTCTGTCGGAAAATTTGACCTCAACGTGCGTATCATAGAACAGCGGAATTTCACATTTAATCAGGAACGAGGTTTCACTAAAGGGAAGAAAGCCGTCAGTTCATAGTGACGTCTCACCATAGTTGATAGCTGCCGATTTTCATTGCCTACCTTGACCATTGGTTGAACTTGTTGCTCGTATCATTGCGGTTGTCGATTGCTGACTTGTATTTGCTTTGCCTTGTACATTTCGCTCGACCATTGCAGTTGAGGGCCGCTAACTTGCATTTGCATGGATTTGAATATTGTCGGGTCTGATTCTCTCAAGGTGGAAGTGTGCAAATTCCGATCTGGTTGCGTCACCATGTCTCGACGTGATGATCGTGATAGATCCAGGACTCGACGCAGACGTGATCGGAGTCCGTCCCCTCAAGCTCACAAAGCACGCCGACGTGAGCACAATGACAACCAGGTCTCGGAGAACATGGATTGGAACAACTTGGTTTCATGGCAACACAACTCCGGCTACAATGCTGCTAACAACTTTCCGATGGTGCCTACCAATTTTCAATCGACTCACAACCCCACACAGCAATTCCAATACCCGGCGATCAACTACATGATGCCGATCCCTCCTGATCCCACACCGTCCAAGTTCATCCCACCAATGATGCCACCACCGGTCACTACTTCCCAACCTACACCTTCACCTGGACCTCCTGCAGCTCTACCGGTTCGTCCTCAGAAAGCCTGGCTTACTCCCTCGCCTGACTGGACACCTGCAGATGGCATGTTTGATGTCAATCAACTCTACAACTTCAGCCTGCCCATGACTGTTGCCAACACTCCACATGGCAACCTTCGCGACATGTCAGGCATGGATATTAGGGACGTACGCCTGGTTCAGGTTATCCACGGGGGCCTCACCAACTGGCTGCTCAGGCCGTTTGCACACGGCCGATTCGTGACGTGGGAAGGCTTTCGCACCCGCACTGAAGCCTTACTTTGGAGTACCTGCTCCAAACTACTACGAAGATCGCAGTCACTCAACCTGCTCACCCTGGAAAAGGACCTTGCCAACACGCTGGGTCTCAACATTGATGACTTCAATCAGCGCATCAAGGTCCACGACCATTTGGCCAACCTGGTACTTCAATTTCTTCAACAACATCACACCTCTCTCGCACCTGCTGCCCAGACCGATGACATGGTCAAGAAGTTCAATGACTTGAATCGTGCACATGAACTTCTACAGGCTCAGTATTCCGCATCACTTCGCGCATCGACCTCGCCCACGATGACAAACCAGAAAGATGATGCAGAGTTGGTTACACCGCCACCGGTCAACCACACACCATCCTCGTCACCTGCCAGCTCCCTGCCCACAGCCAGCGCGGCCGCCCTGGATGGCAAGTCGTTTGATAGCGTGGTGCAACCTCGGATCATGCAGTCTCTTCACGGAGTGTCGTCACCGCCGTCCAAACCGGCGGCGTCACAGTTGCTCACCATGCACAGCACGCCGGATGAAGTTGTCAAGTACTACACATGGACCAGTGACCAACCTCGCCTTTTCCTCAAGCAAGCACCCACAACAACCACTTTGGCGTCGCTGGTTAAGTGGGCCAATCACCCGTCCCGGCTCAACGGCAACAAGTCGTTAGATTCTATGGCGACGCAGCTTCTTCAGGCCAGGCAGCGCATGCCGAAGGGCGATGCGCCCACACTCGGTGCAATGGCAGCACTATGGGGTCTTGAACCCGGGTACCTTACCAAACTCACCGAGAAGGCATTGAGTCACCTCATCGTGACCGCTCGCCTGCTTTGTGGATGAGAAGGCATCATATCGACCTTCGTTCTCATATGAGCCCGGAGCGGCAACAATGTCACGGATGAGTCCAGGTGAAAACTCGTCCGTCAAGTGTTTGCGTTGCACATGATTGATTTTGTACTTGCTTGTTCTTGCATTGCCTCTTGTGTGATTGTCTGTGATGCTTGTATTCATGTCGCCGCCTTGTGGTAGATTTCGTTGGTTGCATCTCACCATGTTGGATGAACTTCGCCATTGCGGAATCTATGATGATGTTGCACAATGGCAGTCGCTGGATGACCTTCTGCACTCGTTGACTACATTCTCGACGTGCTGGCATTACTGTTTCCCTGGACTACCACCACCGTCGATTCCAATTGAAGAGTACGAATCCATCACACAATTGCCGTGGCTGGGTCTCATCATCGAGGTATTAGTTATGGTCCGGATAGCCCTCCAGATTCCGAATTGCGCTATGTCAAACTCTCAGCACACCGTGGCCAACAGGTACGAACTTCACAGATGTCGGTGCGCTGCCTATTTATTGATCAGTTTCTTACAACGTCTCATTTCACAGGATCACGGCTACATCCCGCCGTTCTTCGAAGTTCTTCACTTCTACAAGACTTCTCTCTTGTGTGAAATCATGCACTCAACTTTCGCTGACACGCGACATCTACGCTCATTGCGGGCGCGATTTCCTGACCTCTACGACTTCATACATGATCCAGGTCATCACCAACAACCGTGCGTCTACATTCGACTTTCCCCATGGCACACACCATACTATGTTGGGGCGACTGATCAGGATGTTCTACGTCGTGAACACTCACGCAGTCGCAAATTTCTACAACTACTTCGTGGACGGCATGCCTTCTTTGAACCGGCGCTTCACTACTGGAAACGATCCAATACTTACTGGCTCTTCTGTGCTGTACCAGTGGAAATCAAACTTCCTGTTTCCTCGGTGTGGGTTCAAGAAAGCAAATGGCAATTCCTGCTACGCCCGCATTTGAATGCGCCCTGGGTACACAGAATCTTGCGCAAGGTGGGCTTCCGGGAACATCTTGTAGATTTTCGACGCCACTCGTTGTCGTCGCCCACTTCCCTCGGCTTGCACAAGCGCTTTCGACGACGACTACATCCGGATCTCCAACGGCAACTACGACCTGACACCCTGGATGACATTCAAGCCCACTACTCGATCCTCTATCAGCTGGGATCGAATACAGGAGCGTCGTTCCAAGTCATGCGTGACCTACTGTCAGCCGCTTTCCCTCCCACTCAGCTGTACTACTTATTGCGGCTCGCAGTATTTGTCAACGAACCCTTCCGCTCCAAGGCCCAGAAGCTCCTCGCCCAGGTACTACGCAAACGACGGCTACAACCACCCACCACTTTAACACAGCTACTTTTGCCGCCGCTGCATGTCCAGAATTGGAAAGCTCTACTGGGCACATGGTTACAAAGCTGGATTGCTTCTCATCGGGATCTGTTCCCCTCTCTTTTCCTTCCAAAGATCCGGGTTGTGGAAACTCGCAGCGCCACACTGGGCGACAAGATATACAACTATCGCACATGGCAGCGCAAATGGGCGCCTGACACATTCTTTCCGTGTCGCTGTTTGGACATCGATGATAGCCATCTACACCGTGCACATGGTCACGCAGTAATGTTGGATGAGTTTTCTCGCATCAATGCGGACATTAACATTGAAATCATGACCGCCTCGATGAAGGATCAGTTTTTCGGTGATGTCGACTTATTGCATCAACGTTTCACCACACAACTTCGCAAACTTGCTCGACGCTGGCATGTACATGGTTCCGGTCTGCTTTCAGATCTACAGCCAGTTGTGTCTCAGCTAATGGATACTCATCGGATCAACCTTCAAGATCGGGCTTATTGGTCATCGACATCGTTGCAACGCACTGTGGCTTCTTTGTCTTCGTGGGTAGTCATCCCGGCGGATCATTTCCCCTCCCGCGCACATGTGATGTGCCCGTCCCTGTTTGCCATATTGATGCGGAAGACATTCTGCGCGGGGGATGTCTTCTCACTTTGCCGCGAATCTGCAGCATCCTTCCGCTCTGAAGTGGTAAACACAGTACCTTCTCTCCTACGTCAACGATATGCATGGGGCCTTCGACTTCAAGCACCGTTGCCCACAGCGCGCATCCTCCCAAAGCCGACCAAGGACTGGCAGAAAGCTCGACCCATCATCTCATTCTTTCGCACATGGGCAGCTCCCTTCCTCACGGTCTTCGGTGCACTTATATTTGAACTCACCAAGGCAGCCTTCCCCGACAT